CATAAAAAGTTAAGCAGTCCTAAAAAAGAAATTAAGCGTTGCACACGGAGCGTTTCATTCTTATATTAATGTTAAATTAGACGATCAAAACTTTTTGACTGTACTAAGTACTACTAACAATATAGTAAATTTAGTATACCGTACAAGATGTAATAATTGATTCAGTATGAAAAGCTAAAATTCAATTCGCTCACCGTTTATTTTAAAACATAGTCATAACTATTTTGTTATTTATTAGACATTATTATCGTCAATATGTGGTAGTGATGTATGCCACTATTTTGTGTAGATATAAGTTTAGCCAACCGCCGTTGCACTAACTGTATTTATTAAAATTATTGTGGAATAAAACGCGAAAACATAAGATATTATTTGTTTATATTGGTGTAAGCGAATTGACAAATTTTGTATAATAGTAATAAATTTTGTAGTCTGCCGGCCATTGATTCGAACAGCAATTGAAATACACTCAAAAATCGAATATCTATTCTTTGGTATAATTATTCTAAGATGTTGCTTATCATTGCTTCAGTATTGGATTGTTGGTCTTCCAGCACGTGAGACAGCGCTGTCTCAGCATTTATGGATGTTTGATATTTGAACAATGACTTGACAATAAATAATTTTTTGATTTCTATTCTTATAAATGAACCCACAATTGATAACTGAAATCTAACTGACGATAGAATTTTGATCGACGACGATATTCGAATTTTCGTTTTTATCTATTTATTATTTGCTATACTTGAATTATTATAGTTTCATTTTCCTATCCTCGCTCCTCAAACAGCCTAAACGTAAATGTATAACAAGACTTTGCTAGACTTTTGTCTTGAAACTTGGTAAGCTTAATGCAAGCGATGCAATATTAAACCGATCAGGTCGAATGAAAGGATAAATAAATGCAATTTTGCTCTAAAGTGACTATCGCTTGAAGGGGCTTCATATTAATAAATGTGATTTTACGGAAGTTGGTTTTACTATAATGCTTTCATTACGATAATAAAGTTTCCTTGACTAAAAGCTTTACAACGGGCGTTGTAACTTATTTAATAGTCAATTGTTACGGAAGGTTGTGCTTAAGAATAAAGTAAACGTATACATTCGTAAAGAATGAGAGTTAAAAAATGACGTGTTAATAAGACTATTTGTATCAAAACGGAGAGAGTCTTTCCGTCAGCGTAATGCAGTGGTTCCAGTATGTATTTTTGTTGCAAATACCTAATAACTTTTTTAACCAACATAAGACTAGGGTCTAATGTTGTTAAGTAAATGAGTAATTTTTATTATCCTTATTTTTTGATAATTGTTATAAAAGTATAATATAGTGGTTGCATAAATTGTAATTAACTGTTTGCCGTTTGAACGAGGTTTATTTACTCAATACATTGATGAAGTAATTATTGTTACTGAGTATAAATAACATCCTACCAAGGTAATAACTCATGTTGCATAGTGGGAATGCTTATAGAGTTATTTGTGAGTGTTCAAAATTGGTTTGCTGACTTAATTTACTGAACTGGAGTTTAACTCCGTTGATGATTGTAATATTAACTACTCTACTAATTATAATAAATCCATCATTAATTATAATGTTACGATTTTATGGGTTACTTGTAACTATCCCGCTGTAATGACGTTATTAGTCAAAAAGTATTTTAACATTGCTGGACAAAGGATAGGGTTAAGCTTTCCTCCTTCTTTAGGAAGAATAGTCCTGTCGGAAAATTTGTCCAGACTGATTATCGTTGTATTACGAATATGATCAATGACGTTAGTCATAAAGCGATACTGGGAAGAATTTTTAGGTACAACCACATGTGTAATTTATGAACTTGCATTTTTTAAGGCTATCTTTACTCTGTTACTACAGGTCTATTGCATTCTCAAAGCGATCCAAGAAATATGTACACCAAAACTGGTATTCTTAATTCATTGGACACGTCATACTTCATTATAGGAACAACTTTTGTTATTGGAGAAGTTCAAGACTATTACCAGAATGCAAGAACAAAAGGCTTAAAAAAACACAATTAATATTAATATTAAAGATAAAATATTGTTTAAGTGATATATTAAATAATATTCCTATACTAAATTTCATGAAAAGATAATAATAATTTAGAGTATATTAACTGAGAATAGGCAAATTATTGTTTGTTTGTTCGTTTTACATAATACATGCATTATATGTTTAATTAGTTTTCTATAAGTAAAATAAATCTTCATCGGCCAACTGCCAAACAAATGAGCACAAACAAACATATAAAACACAGCAAACTACAAGTGATAAAAATATATATGTTGTGTACATTATTACCTGTTTTTAATTGTAACAGTTTCACTGAATGCGAAAAGTGCTGCGTTTCTTGAAGACAATATGCTGTGGCACTCATTTGGAAATTACCTTGCGACGTATGGTATAATACAACGCATATATAGTAATGTAAAAAACGCGTCGCGATAAAAAATTGGTACAATCATTCTACCGTCGTGAAGAATTTGCTCGAAACCCATGTTGATATTAATGGCATCAAATTCCGGTAGAAGAAATGTCAACCGCATTAGTAGCCAAAACTATTTACAAATCGGTTTATCGCAAATTTATCGCAGGTCTTAGAAAATGATAGCACATTGAATGTTAACATGATACGCTCCGCAAGTTATGGCACCAATAATGCCTTACACTCAAGTTATGAGTTTACGAACAAATTTATGCAATATTTTCGGAACGGCTTACAAGGAAGAAGTAAACAACTTAGTGAAAAAATACAACAAAAATCTGCTTAGAGCTAAGTTAGAGAGAAAAATATTACCACAATAATACAAAAGTGGCAGAAAAAGAAAGAACATTGTCAGACGAGCATTTTATAGTAAGAGGTGTTGTAGCGTTGACGCGACTGCTCGTTACGATTCACAATCTGATCAGCGAGTAATAAACATTTAGGGTCTTTAAATGGATTTAGAATGTAATCTACGTTCCTTGCACAGTTGAAGAATGGACTGAATATTATAGTATGTCACAAGTAAAACTCTTGGATACTGGAAAGAGCAAATTTGCAGTATTTTAAAAAAATAAATTTTTACCTTAGCGAGGAGAAGTATTTTTCATGCAAGAAAATTGATACACTTTTCAGACAGTACATTATACACTGTTACAACAATAAGAATAGAATTAGTATATACTGGAAAATACATGTACAATATATTAGCATTTGTATGGAGAGGCGTTGGAAATCTTCATATACTAGTAATATATATAAAGCCTTTTTTAAAATCCAATAAAAACCCAACTTGATTATACATTTGATGATAATTAAGAGTCATAAATGTCAAACACTATTAGCAATTTTAAATAAACAGGGGAAGTAAAATGGAGCGTGTCGTGTGTCTTTATTCAATGTAAATGGATAAATTTATGTACCATCCTAATAAATTAATTGTCAAGCAGTTAACCGTTCGCGAAGAAATATGACATGCCAATAATGAATATTAACTATATACAACATATGAGTTGACATCAAAATTGTGATTGACAATTTTACAAAAATCTAAAAATTTTGACCTCTATTTGAAACTTATTAATTATTTATAATTATAAATCGCCGACTTGGCATGCTTCATCGAATAGTCTACACCAGAATCTCCGAAATCAGTAAGACAATTCCCGAAGGAATTAGATGCATTGATTTAAAACATCAACAATGGCAAAATCTCAATAGGCTAAGCTTTAATGCATATAATGGATACTTTCAAAGTAAGCAACTTTAGCATATTGATCATGACAAATATTTACGAGCCGCACTTTAAATTGTAACCATATATTTATACAAATGTCATTAAATTCAAATTTGGTTTCGCTGTTGAATTAGTCATATTGGAAATATCCAAGTCAGAACAAAAAGCACGAAAACGGTTATTTTCAAGACAGTCATATAGATGTGGTCTCCACAATAATTCATCACGTGTCTTTCTAGTCCGCCAATGTACATGACTCAATGATTAAAATTCGACATCAGCCGTCTATCACTCTTCTTATTCTGCCCGTATTCTCTTTATTTCTTCCACGTTTTTATTTAGTTTATGCGCTTCTACCGTCAACCAAGTGCAAAAGCAAATATCTATAATTATTTCGTGGTATACTGAAAGGGCACTATTACAGTAATTGGCAAATACACACTATATTGTTTTTTAACCGCCTTGGTTTTTTATGTTATTGATATTTTGATTTTGTATTTTTACCACAATCTTACAACATTGTACGCTATAGCCTAATATCGACATCTGTTTTCACGTTCTATATGCCGCCTAAACAGTTTACTACATCTCCTACAATTCTTACTATACGTTCGAGGGTTGCCCAGGAAGCACATTTCATAATCAATGAGATTCTACCCGCAAAAATTGTTTCCCTACAACAATCTAGTTCGTTCAATATGTACGATAATGATCAAGCTGAAGTAAACGAGACAAGCGCTAAAACAGTTCCCAAAAAACATAAAAGAACAGAGGACATGGTGCCAACGCGCATCTGCAACGAAAAGGAAATTGGAGATATACACACGCAGCTTCGAAACGAAATTAGCGAGCTTGTGGGATATTGTGTAAAAATACGATTGTGGGCAACGTTATTAATGCCAAGGTATGCATGTGTTTAGCAAGAGTTACCGTGTTTGTAAATGGGCGCGCGTTGACCTTTTGAAAAACAATTGATCAATAGATTCAACAATGAGAACAGGTTAAATGAACCAATTGAAGGTAAACGTATTTTTTCGACGCTGTTAATACATTTATTCTATTGTTCATACTATTTACATTCGCGCAGATGTAATTTCCGAATTATCGCGTGTTGAAAACGAAGGATTTGCATTTCTCGACAGCATTGTACAATACTATAATACGCGTGCGCGACTAGTAAAGTTAGTATTAATTATACATATGTGTTAAACGTCTGTCATTACTATTGCTCAATCTCTTGTTCCGATCAAGGAAATGTATGAAGTACAAGTCGGTACAAGAGCATAGTCGTGCGATCGAGGCACTTGATGCCCATCATTTAATTAGTATCCGACAGCAAAAAAGTGAAATCTGGATTACTTATTATATTCTTTACGATATGATGAGTAAACATTGGAAGATTTTACAGGAGCAATAGTAATTACTGTCTAAAAAGAGCAATGTCTATTGAACAAATAAAACCGATATTGCATTTACGAAAATTAAACTGTTTGATCAATTCTGTATTTAACTATAAATTTCTGAATTGTAAGCGTACATTTGTCTCAAGACGCTGCATAGTTACCATCATTTTACGTAATTACTCAGCCTCTAGATAGCATGTGCTGATTAGAGACCAAAAGACTAACTAAATCAGTGGAAGCTCTTAAATTCAATCGCTCAATTACAAATATGAGGCAAGCTAATTGGTTCGAAATATGCGGTCAGTTAACATTTACTAGTATTTATACTTATGCTAATATTTTTCAGACTAGTTTGCAAAAAGCCTAATATAATTGTAAGTCCAAAGTGCTGTTTTAGTAAAGATTACCTAAAGTGACTATGTCGTATTCGTGATTTGTTTATCAGCAAAATCATTTAGACTTATTATTGTCAGTAATGTGTTCTTTAACACTTTCAGTATTGTTTATTGCCGGCCCGATAGTTTTTCCAATCCTTTCTATTCTGATTAGAGTTGAGGCTTAGCCAACTAACCCATGTCACAGTCGTTAATTCTATTGACGCAACATCTTTGCGTGTGTTGTGGCTCCGCGCGCGCAATTGGGTGTTGAACAAAGGTACTTGAACGTGAGTCTTACAATCCTCTTTTGATGCCATGCTTTTGCTGAATTTGGGATCGAGCAAATGACGATACTATCAAAAAATCACGGCAACTCAAACTGCATGTTGCACTGCATATGGAAGTAGAATGATTAGTTCGCATAGACCACTGCTCTTGGTTTATTCAACTGAAGTCGCCTCTTTGTGCTGTTCCCTGTCGAGACATTTGGTGTTTCGGTATTCCGCATATGATTGGTATGCACATTGACGATTATAGACGTGTCATGCTGGCTGGCAATGATCGAGACCATAGCGTGAAAAAAAAAAAGGCTTGAGTAATCAATGTAACGCAAGATTATCAGAAACCTTGATTATTAGTCGTAAAATGAGCATCTTAATCTGTAGAATAGAATAGCTGTCGCTGCAAAACCAGTAAAGTAGATGGGAAACATTTCAGGAGAAGGTCGATTATGTAACGGTGCGTATCACATACACGCTCTGTATTCTAGGCCCCTTATATTGATGTGAAAAGTTTTAGTTTTTCTTTGTTTCCCATAAAGGACGATTGTCAGGAGTTTTCGTATTCGGGCAAGAAATCGTATGTTTCGTTGACGACGGATCTACGATTATTGGCTGCGGGCATTAAGTGGATGTTACTGTAAATTCTGGAAAAGATTTTTTTTTTTTGCATAGACACAGAATTTATTACTCTACTATAGTTTCGCGTCATAAGTACAATATTATACGATGGATTATGTCTGTCGAAAAACTTGCCATGGAAACGGCACCCATTCTAGTATCGCTGTTAAAAAAGGTTTGATGTGGATATCAAAATCTGTGCATAATCTCTGTCCACCGATCATAACTTTTAGTTGAAGGCATGATCTGCATAAATGCTATTATCTTTATATCTATTGCACATATCTGAAATTGTCCGCTGCCCGTAGCGATTGATTTCTAACGTGGAAACAAGTTCTGATCAACAAGCGTACATATCCGGGCCTTACAATAGTCAAAACGTTTTGCATTTCTCTTTTCTATTGAAGGGTTAACATTATCGGTATGGCTGTGCCTAATTGTATGTTTTTCCATGATAACCATTACGCCCATATAACCATAAAAGTAGTCTTTCAATTTTTGTGCAAGTTCTAGTGGAGATACAACACCTAATTTGTAAAACAGTGTAAGGAAATGTAATAAAAGGACGATTCCCATTCTTCAGCTCAATCTATCATAAAAAGATGAATATAGAAACATTCAGACACACACTGACACCATATTTTTTGAAGACAGCCATTATACTTAGCGGTCTATTATCATTCGCGTCGCTAGGTGCTAAACAAGTGGCGCCCCTACCTCTAGTATCACTACCAGTGATACTACTTGCCGTTAGATACAGTAAAAAGATATACTATGACGTAGCAATATTCTCCTTCGTGGCAATTGGTATCGCCGCGTCCTACAAAGTGTACGCAGATGAAGCAACGTCGAATCCGTTAGACGATAACGCAGCTCTATTCATTATCGGCAGTATTATTTCGTTAATGACGATATGTCCTATCTATATCGACAAGTCGCTTAGACAAAGAAAGAAAATAGGTTACTTTCTCTTTCCCGCGTTGTGGACCCTTGTCTGGGGTCTCTACAGATACTTTTCGCCATTAGGCTCGTGGGGAGACTGGGCGTATTCGCTGCAAGGCCCCTTCATGCAAAGTGCAGCATGGTTTGGTTTGTCGGGTATCGATTTCATTATGGCGTGGATGGCGCAAGTCATCGCCGAATTCGTCTATGACGCCCCGGATAAATTCCTCGGGGCAATCAACGAAGAGGAAACTACGTACCTACTTGTTCGAAACGATAGGTTTTACCAGAAAAAACACAGGAAATTTGCGATAGGATCGACGCTATTTTTTCTTATAGTGTATGTCCTCGGGGCTTCGAGAATGAGCACGATCGAGTCGAATGATCCGGGCATGAAGTCATTCGGGGTTGCCTGCATCCTCGGCAGCACCAACTACAAGACATCCCCAACAGAGCAAATGTTGGCCGCAACACGGCATTACGTATCGAGAGCAAAAATTGTATTATGGTCCGAATCGGCGTTGCATATAGAATCAACGGAAGAATTAGCGTCGATATTAAAGGACGTGATGGAGATAGCCTACCAATCGCATTCATACATAGGACTCTCCTATACTATACCAACGGCGAATGGTATGCGAAAAAACGTCTTGAACTTAATATCACCGCAAAACGTTAGCGTGTTCGAGTACGTGAAATCTCATCCCGTACCTTTCGCTGAGTCACATTCCGTTATGGCAGGACCGGGCATTTTGCCACTCGCCAGCATAAATATAACGCATGGACACTCCAACGTAATTGGAAATATAAAAGTTTCCGGGGCGATCTGTTTTGATATGGACTTTCCAAACCTAATCTGGCAGGCATCGGATGCCAAATTGATGCTGTCACCGGCACAAACTTGGTCGGCTGCGATTGGGATGCAACATTTCAAGATGGCTGCGGCCCGTGCCATCGAAAATGGGTTTTGGATACTGAGGTGCGACGCTGGAGGGGTTTCCGGTGTCGTAGATGATTATGGCCGATTTCGCCTTTGGGTGCCCGCCCCCAAAAATGGCGTAACAGGGTTTACGTTCGAGTTCCCCCTCTTGGAAGAAAAAATTCAGACATGGTACGCATTTTGGGGAGATGCTCCCTTGCTAGCTTTAGTAATAGGAATACTCGCGTCAATAGTCGGGCCCATCTGGGTAGTCCAGATGTTGGATGAAAAGGCCGAGCAGGTTAAAACGTTCGTGAACGGAGAAATCCGTAAACACGTGAATAAATTCGTTGGGGAGGAAGGAGAAGGAGGAGGACAAGGTAGTCATCGCAGTTATACAATATTGCCAACATCACGGGCACAAGAATACGAGGCCGAAGAGCAAGACGTTAATAATGATTACAATAATAATAACCCATGGTAACGTTAATTTGTTATAAAACATTTACTTTTTTTTTTTTGGTTGTATTTTTTTCTTTTTTTTTCACGAATAAACAATTGTAAATTGAAACCTTTCGCCGAATGATTATTATCTCACGCTCGTTACGTCATTAGCGTCGGAAATGATGATAGTTTTTTGAGAAACAGCATATTTTGCAGAAAAAGGTTTAACACGATATACAGTCGGTGCTGGACCAATCAGCTTATGTCATGGCATACTTGTTCGGTTCATTTTCTATCTTATCGTGCATATGGGGACGATGCAGACTTGTAAGTCATCACTTTCGGTGTCCCTCTACGTGATCAATGCCGTGTGATATGTGACTGGTAAATTAACAAAGCGGGAAGCGTCTATTTCACGAAATAAGTGAAACAATCGGATTGGATAATACTATTCGAATATTCAATTCCGTGGCATGTAAAATTCACTGTAAACTTTTCCAAATTGCGATTAACAAAAACGAACACAACAATGCGTTCGAGTGTAAAAAGCAGTAAAAATGCCGTTATACGATGTACATATAAATATGAAATGACGGTCAACGTTCCAAATCCCAATTACAAACAGACTCAGCAAACGCTGCCTATTTGGAATGGATTCCATACGAGACTATGCATACTGCCTACTTATTCATATGTTAACTTGGGATGACGAGACACATGAGGGAAAATATTACTAGCAACTACTTTTAACAAACTAGTATCTCATATCAGCGCCAATCCAAACTCTTTCTTGTTTTATTAACATCAACTCCATCTGTTTCACAGGAAGCGACGTGACATTCAACTCATTGGAGATTCCCTAGATACGTTCGTGCATACTATCATGGTTATCATATTATGCTGACATTGACTTTTGTCTAATTCACGTACAGTGCTGCGGGTCATCCACGCGAAAACCGTATAAACACACTATTACCATGCCGGTCTTTATTTTTAACGTAATCGGTTAAAGTACACGTTTATCAATCTATCATTAAGAAAGTAAGCATCCCAAATAAGTAAACAATTTGTCGAGCTTTTTTCCTCTTTTGTCCTTGATCATCAGTTACCTGGAAAGTCACACGCGGTCGAGATTGAAGTTAAATGGCACTAAGAAACTACTGCGGTTTTGTTCTTACAAACTTTAATTCCACTTGCTTCAGATCTTTTCTAGTAATTGCGGAACTTTTCGCGCAACAGACACTCTTATGCTATACAGAATTAGATCAACTAACAAAGTTTTACTTTAAAAAATAGTCACCCATCATCTTTATCCACATTCTATTGTCAACGGTACGTTGATGTCAGTTGTAATACTGACGAAAGCCGATGGCTTGTTGCTGTTGGCGATAAAACATGGATCGGAGCGATTGTGCAAGTTCTTAAAATATTATTGTAACTAAATATTACATGTTCGATGTTAAACTCCAGTCACTATACACCGCTATCAGTTCTCACATTAATCGATAACACCATACCATCTCATACTTCATATGTCTCTTTATGTCATGTTTATAACTGTTATTATCTCTATCTCAGCTCAACTAATCCAGTTTCCTCGACGAAATCGTAGCGGGCTTTTGATTCCCACGTTATAAAACTTCTGTATCTCATCGGCAAACCATAGTCTACCAAACTTACATGTCAGAAACCAGTCACCGCCTTTCCTTCGATACAATAGTTATAAAGTGTCATTAATATAGTACTAACTTTGTTTACTAAAACGTTTCCTATGCTTTTATACAATCCACCGATCCTTTGAATGGCTTCCATTCTTTGAAGCGTCCGCATGCGAATGGAATTCAAGAGGTAGAGTGGATAAATTTAATGTGGCCTTCAGTTGTCGACTACAAAGCGTAGTAAAAGCTCCACGAATTAGAGAGAGAAAGAAATAACCCCGTCTCGGACAATTCAATTCGAGTCCTACTCACCCCACTGTTTCTGCAATCTCTCTGTTATTTGAAGACCGCATCCACAATGAAATTCTGTAGAAAATTTTACGAACGGAAACCACTGCTCCACATATTTCGTCCGCGTGTTCAAAAGCTTCACCGATACATGCAAGCATCTAAACATGATGTTTGGTTTAGTCAGTCATTGGGACGACAACAACAGGGTTTGAAACCATTTCGGTCAATGGTCAAAAACTGCATTGTGTATTTCTTTTTCCTTGTTTAATCGTGCTTACCGTATATAGCCAGAGCATATTAATGTCATCCCCGGTCTTGTGACGAGAAAATTGAACAAGCCATTTACCACCATGCTCATTTACAGGATCCTCCCACATTGGTTTTATTCCTCGTTTGAATAAATGATAATTAGATCCCGAGGTTAAATCACTCGCTTTGACAATATTATTATATACACTAGATGTACGGATAAGAATTTTCAGTCGCATATCAAATATGGTAACAAGTAAAAAAAGAAAGAGAATAATTAAGTCACTAGACAAACTGACCCCCAGAACTCTTCCACCGAATCGAAAGTAATCAGCTCTTTTAGCGTTTGCGACCAACTCGCTGCGTTTGTTTTCTTGCCAGGGTTATCGAACCACAAGGTCCATGAATTGAATAGTGGATGCTTCACGTTATAGCTAACCGGATCGCTGAATACTGTGCGCTGCTCTTCAGTGTCAAAAGGAAAGGCCGCACTCTTGTCCTCTTGGTCCGAATCCTCGGTCCTGTTTGTGTTCTTCAGATTAGCTACTTCGGTAGAAACGATATTGTCAGACATCTTTTGAGAGAGAATAAGTTTCATTTGAGGCGCACTCGACAAAAAACTGTATAAAAAAGTTAATGCGACGCCACAAACACATTTCAGGGATCTAACGCCACAATCAGTATCCTTTTCAATACAAAGAGCACGCACCCCCCCCCCCTTTATTATAATTACTACACTGGGCAGAACCTAATAACAAAATGAGTTTCGAGATGCTTTCGGCTTTAAAATCTTTGGATATGATGGTGATGGCATAAGGGTTTTGTTGACGGACTTGGCTATGAAGGATAAAGCCTCCGATTGGTCGAACAAATGAAAGAATTTTACATGATGGGTGTCTCACGCGCCGGTGTGTGATCAGCTAAAAACGTGGAAAAGAAGATCAATCAAAGTAAATAAAAACAAACTAATCAATATTTGCAGCGAGCTAAGGCTTTTCATTGTAAACTTGTCTATATACGATGAAACAAGTTTATTAACGGGTTTGTACATTCAGTCTCGTTATGTTATAACGTTATTAACTTAAACAGTAACGTTCTTGGTTTTGAGTTTGCATGCTTTAAGTTGATGCTGTAAATGTAGTAACACATTGCTAACCTATTATTAAATTAAGCAAAAGCAACCTTCTCCTACTGTAATTTTTATAGGTCAAACTGTCATTAATGGTTAGAGCATTTCTTTTTCTATCAAGATTATTGCGTTGTTAAGCATGGCCGTTAAGGCACCTCTAATATTGTATTTTTGATTTATCATGCTTTGCAAAGAACACACATTCTTAACATCTGTCTATGTTAAGTGGAAATACATAACCCTATCGTTTGGTCTATTAATTGCTTGTATGGTACACGCAGACTAAAGCTACCGCTTTTGAAAAATTCTATCTTATACGTCAATCATGTGAAACAATTTTCAAGCTCAACATTATGCCAATCATCATCATTTAATAAAGTTTCATTAGTTGCATTTTTTTAAAGCTTTATTTTTTCGTGGGGCTGCAAGTTGAACTTTTCGTCTCTATGGTGGCATTTTTACAAGTGCAAACCCAAGATAAGTGCAGATCTACGTATTAAATTCACATGCTAAAAAAATGCGGTTGATCGAATTTTAATCCCGGCCAAATTTATTTCGAACTTGGTAAAATAACTGATATAAGAGCTTATATATTTATACTAAGTAATCTAATTTAAAAAAAAAGCAACTTTCTGTTACATAAAAGTACCATTACGAACGGTTATTTTACAGAAAGATATTTGGAAATATTCATTAATTTTTTTTCTATTCACATGATAAATAGTGGTGGGTTTAGATTGCGTACACCGTATTTCTATCGAAATGAATTGCTATTACCGAATAAATTGGGCATCCACGTTATCCACGTGTTTTTGTTGGATGCAGCAATCATATGATGTCAATCGGGATAGTATGACGATTGTTGGAGGCGAATACAATAAGGTGTATAAATTGGGACAAATTATTCGTTCACAATACTGATACGATGGATAAATGGTTGGCACAATGAATAGTTCTCGAAAGGTCACTCACCTGGGGCGTCACAACAATAATAAACCAAAAGTTGACAATAAAAAACGCTATACCATCGGGTATATAAATGACCATTATTTCACCGGCGATTTCAATCCATTCCACCAACAGTCTATCCGGTCAATCTTACTGTTTTCCAAATCAGATTTAAGTTTTATTGCATAATGTGTTTAGTAAAATAACTGTCGGCGAAATGAACCAGACCCATTATTGAGTTGGGGAATAATGTGGAGATATTGATTAAAAATAAATTAGACAAAGTTTATGAATTTGACGTCTCCTCTGTTTGTCATTTACTAATTGCTCTAATTCAGCATGTCTTCCGAGAAATGCACGCAAGCGAGGTAAGGCAAGTTAGCATACCCTAATAAGCTATGTATTAAAAGATGCGACAGCATCAACAGAATCTCTCAATCAAGTGTGCGCAATCTACGAACATTGTCTAACAAAAGCGCAGGGTTAGTCGAGGAAGAAAATCAAACCTTTATCATGAATAATTTGTGTCGAAGTCACTGTTATACAGTATAATGTACATATGTCATCACCGAATTTCCAAATCTGACAATACTTCTATATAGGATATTCGTATAGTAACAGATGTCGAATTAAAATTGCCAAGTCGTGTATTGCCTTGGCATCATACTGTACATCTGATAATAATAATAACAGTAATATCACGTGAATTGTTTTGAAATTTAAATTTATCAAGACCTTATAGTTATATAAACAATAATATAATACACTTCAAATTGAATAGTTTTTGTGTATTATTACTGTATTATAAAAAATTGCGCGAAAACAATATTTTGTACAAAACGCTCTCAAAATAACGTATGTATTACTTTAGTTAGTCTTCGAAAGAAAGACGATAAAAGAGTTGTTAAAAATCTATAATTTTCGATAAAAAGTAAAATATCCGACCTTAATTATACGGATTATCTGAGACATTATTTATTAATTGCTAGCTAGCATTTATTATGTTTTAATTTATACGACGTTTCTAAATCAAATTGTTTGTAAGTTGATAAAGGAAAACATTCGTTTTATTTTGTAAAACAAAGAAAAAACAGGATTATGTCGAATCGTATGTTATTGTCTCGCCTGTTACTGAATATTTGTATGCGAAAACCAACCATGTGCTAAAAAGAGAAAAGTAAAACCAAATAAACAGCATTTATTTTTACTAGAAACGGAAAAGAAGCTAACTAACTAAATTAACACGTCTTGGAATTTTCCGGTTGTTGTATTACATAGAGATGTTTATTCTTGAATAATTCATACGCACGTCGTTGTTATGCCAAACCGATACACCGAGGACCACCAGGACAGCGAATAATTCCAGCAACAAGGCCAGACACCATCGCGTTGTTACAAGCAGAGACATCCGTAGTACTGGCATGAAAACATTCGGAGCCACCAAAGAACCATTCAAGATCAGCAATACATGCATTACAGCAATCTTGGGCGGTATTCCCACCAACGCCTTTAAACTCTAGCTCCTCAGAAGCCTTGCCGTTCCATCCTGGAGCACCGGGAGCTGAACAACATGGTTTTTCGCGATCAGTTGCTGTAAGCGTACACTTCTTGGTTACTATACAGTGTTTGCTATCTTGATGACCATTACCAGCCCCACAATTTTGATGGGGATCTCGACAATCAGGACAAGTGAGAACGGGAGTGGGAGTGGAAATAGATGTGCAAAAAGTTGTGGTTGTCGTCGCCGTCGTTATTGTTACTGTTGAACATTCTCCAGCATCAGCAATGATACTCGATGCCAACAATACCAATAAACACAAAAAGAATTATCGAAGAAAGTCTGAGAAATTGTCCATTCATTGTTAAATATGTACGAGTCAGGTTAAAAAATACAATTGTATTTTTAACAAAGCTGAAAAAAAATTTCGGCGGTTTTATAAGTTCTGCAAACTAATATGCGATATAAACCCAGCAGTAATGCAGTACCTACAAAGATAAAGTTCATACTGCACATTGAGGGATACCGTGGGTCCCGACCACCCCTCGAATTGATGCATAATTCCGTAACCAAACTTTCAAATGCCGTGAACCTTTAGCTACGGTTTGCGTTTGTATTGAGTTGTAAATTCGTGAAATTTAGGTGTACATTAATATGTAGACTTTTGAGTATGCTTATACGTGTTGTACCTCAGTTCGGGACCTGTTTCAGTTTTGGACTGATCTGGACTGAGACAGGTTCCAAACTCGGATACAGCATACGTAGATTTATTCAACGAAAAATACGACAAACCAAGTTTCGTAACCAAACGTTAGACATGTGCGTAAAAAAAAGTTGCGTTACAACACCGTACAAATTGATATCTCAACCAAATTCAAAATACTACGTAAACGCAACACCTCGGGACCGAGCGATGCATTGCATTATGGGGGTTTTTGGAGGGGTTTCTACATATTAGGAAAGACATTTATGATTTACAAATTCGCCTTTAGAATACTTTCCAGCCAACTTTATGTAAAGGTTTGAGTATAATTGTTAATTAAGATTTGGAGCGACTTCGTCATCGTCTTCATTATTCGCCAGCCACAAGTGGAAATGTCTTCTCATTTTCTAAACTTTCAGTGTCTCGTAAAGCACTCACTATTGTATTGTGCATCATTTACTACTATTGTCAGTTTTTAGCTCAAACGCTGAAAATTTAACATTTTTTTCCCCCACAATTAGAATTAGTAATAGTAACAATATTAATACAGTCGCACCTTTATTTGAGAACCAAGTTGGGACCATAGTGATTTTTTGAAAAAAATGTTCTTATGAAGAGGTGTTCTTTTATGGAGGTTTTTTTTATAAGTTTAATTATAATTGGGTCTTTGATGCAATGTTCTTGCGAAGAGGTTTTTATATGACGTTCTTTTATAGAGGGTTCTTTTATGGAGGTGCGACTGTATAACCAATTTGCTGTTTCGAAGCTATTATAAACGAAATCAAACTCGGACGTTGAAAAAACCAGCAGTGATTTGCCAAAATCCTCCTTTACACGTAAAACTGCATCTATAACAAAATAATGTTGTGCACGCAAATTATGACTGTATTTAGTCTCACGCTATTACTATTGCTTGCTGCTACACTAAAAATGCTTGCAACAAATCTAGCAATTGCAGAAAACAGGAGGTTGCATTTATTCGCTAAGTCCCATGGTTACGTATTGCATTTAAAGGGATTGCATTTATAGGGGATATCACTATAGTTATCTTACTTGGTTACCGGGAAATCAATTTATGTAAAAATACTAACAGCTTATACGTTCAGGATAGCATTCACGCACAATTGTAAGGTAAAATGTGGTTGAAACTTTTAGTTGCATAGCTTTTAGCTCGTTGAACTGCTTTAGTTCTACTATTTATGCTTAGAATGAGTTTTTGAAATATAGTATTAGTATCTGTAATTTTTCCCATTCTCTTCTTGAAGATACGCAACCAATTCTCTCTTTTGGCGGTGGGTCTCGTTCTTAATTCATCATTCAAGCTTATGCCATAAATATTTAGTGGGATTAAGGTCAGGACTCTGTCCGGACCATTTCATCATGTTTATGCATCTATGAACTGAAGCATTGTCTTGCTGAGTACTAATTTTTCATTGCGTGGACAACCACCAGTTTTATAATATTTTTCTATTCCGTCATATACGTGCCTGGGTGACCGGTTTTTGTGTCCAAACAGCCTCCTCTAATAATAATTTCACGTTCAAATTCAGTCAACTCTGCCATTTCGCTAAGAATAAAATAAAGCGCTTGAATTTTTACAAAGTGTAAGAAAGGAAGAGGTAGAATGAGCGCGTTGCGTGTGATTTATATAATCTACGAAATGCATGTATGAATTCGCTTGAACGTAACAATAAAATTATTGACATTATAATACCATATTAATATCGTTTTATTATTTAAGACTGCATGATAAATGCTACAAAATTTCGTTGAAAGCTTGTTTATAACGCAGATAGTTGTAAAGTTATTAAATTTGAACATTTCTCTTCGTAATGCTTTATTTTTCCATTTTTCGTTGAATAAATTCGGAGACCCACCGTATTATACAGTACCGTAGACCACTGAATACAGTACCCCCAAAATAATCTCCCTCAAAATTAGATCCGGGTACAATCAGTTTACATAATAATAATGCTTCTCTTGTTATAAAACGAGTGTTAATTTTTCCTACATTCCCATTTTTCTCAATGATGGTAGCTCTTTTGACGTGCTTGTTTCCACACAGTGCCATCGCGGTATCTAAATCTAAGGAGAGTGTACATTAACCAATGATATTTGCTCTTTAAAGGTACCCAATCCCCCCCCCCCCACATAGTCCCCCCCCCCCCCCCCCCCTTGGATACATATCAAGTATATACCCGGGGTACTGTATTCAGTGGTCTACGGGTAATGATTAAAATTCGACTTCTCATCATGCAATTGGAGATGATCAGCATAATGCGGGAATCACGAGGAACGAAAAATCTGAAAGGGAGACAACATGCGCAATTAGAAACACAGAAACACATATCTATTACAATGATCATCTTTTATCCCTCGGTTGCTTTGGTTATTGTTTTGGTATTGTTGCCGCGCCTTGCATTATCCCTTGCAAGACATAGATACTCTTACGTATTCGACTCTAGTATACCAGAGAGTTCCATACAAGGCGATGTACTGAAGAATATTGGTTCCGACACTGTAAAAATTTCGAATTTTACTGGAATTAAAGAATGGAAGATGGCCGTTCGTCTTGGAGAATTCACCGAGGTATCGTGTTCATAATCATTTGAGGGTGGCTCGAATAATCTACTTTAAAACGTGACCTAATTAAAAAAAAAAAACTATCTTTTTGATCAGAAAATACTTCAAGAAGAACTACCACCCTGGAAACCAGAATGGAAGGTTCGCTTTCAAATGTTGTCTCCTGATGCTGAGGAACTTGCGCCATTCTTGACTCGAGCGTTGCCCGGCTTTCATGTTGGATTGGATTTATGGAATGCATCGAGTACGCCCAGGTGAATAATCGGTTTATCGTTGCATCTACCACTGACGATACTTTATTGATGTTTGACTAGAAGAATGTAAATAGTATTTATTTATTAGGCTTGACATTAATGACGAGGCTTTTGTTATGGCGTGTCGTTATCTTTACAAGATATTCCCTATTTTCCTGTGCCCCCATCATGAAGGCGAGCATCGTTCGGTGAGCTTTGTTCATTTGCATAAACTCGCCATGTTGTGTCATTAAACGAGTCGTTAATATTCTTATCTCTAATAAAGCATGCCTGGATAGACTTGAAGCAATCCATTACATTGCCTAGATCAAGAACGTATCTTCATCAATTTCATGCCAACGGAAGGCGCATCGTCGTATCGGATTCAAGATTCGGAAATTATGCATTATTAAAGAACGGCTGGAAACAACCTGTAGCTATAGATTTGAACATTTTATTTGACTCAAAAAACAACATGGACATGTTGGAATTGAGAATGTTATGGAAACTGAAAGAACAATCCGAAGAAATCATTCGTCCCAATCAATCAGAGGAAAGAGTTGAAGTCGGTGTATTTGAAAGCCTTCATGACGGCAACTCTTACATAGGAGTGAGATCGATCATTGGAGATAATAAAATTCGTAAGCGATTGCCGGTTAATTTTTCCTGGTTTTAATGCGTGTCGACGTCTTGTTCATGCAGAATTATTTATTTCCTTTCCCAACACAGTTCCGACTCTGGTCACACTACCTGCCGTCTATTTAAGCAAAGAGTCTCACTTCTTCAACTCTACCATTCCCACTCCACACGGTTTTCATCCGTCATTTCTCACGGAAATAACAATACCCCCGGGGTCATTTTGCGAATATCATATAGTGCACAGCCTTCCTGATAGCTATTTCGTTGACCCATATCAGATTGAAGAACTCTTTCCCGACGGTGACATAGAAATCTGGGGAGATACAGATTTGGAAAAACCAGTAAATAACCCTACTAGTCTTTACGCTGAGGGATGGATGAGCACTGGCAGCGTAGTAAAAATCAGAACGAGAATCGACGGTATCAATGCGAGCACTGTAAAGTTTTCTTTGCCAATTCATCTCCGTTATCACCATGCGGCAGAATACTATAAATATATGGGATATTTGACAGTGAACGCATTCTGGCCATACGTCATTGAGAATTGTATTGATGAAACACGGGTCCATGACGGTAAGAGGATTTTTTTTTTCAAGACTTTGTTGGGTGTAACCGGTACTAACAAACATTTTATTTTATTATTTTTTTCACCAGAGGTATTGTTTGCACCAGTTCCACTGCCACTATCATTGATACTTTCTGAAGAACGTGGGCGAATCAGATATGTAATGCCAAACTATGATCGACTCGGTCTCGATTCCCATGCAAAGTATTCTTATCCCGCAGAATCGATAAACGTTCCTATCGGTGAATCAGACATGTCACAGACAATTCTGTTTTGGACTATGATTGCGGTCATCTGTGGCAGCTTCTGGCTTAGCATGGCTGTTATTCGATTTGTTATGAGAATGCAGGCAGATAAAGTCGAAAATAAAATGGATTGATTAACTGGAAAGTTGGAGAATTTTCAGGCTGTAACCCGAGAGGAAATGGGGGGGGGGGGGGTTTCATCTATCATAATTTACACAATAATGATACAATTTATTCTGTCAGTTCACATAATCAAAGTATACTTGTCTTGGGTGCTTCTTCTTTTCTTTGCTACTCCGTATCCTCTAGTGGATCATCTAATCTTTGTAGTAAATATTCTACTTCTACCTCCTTTGTTAATGGAATAACCCATTTCTCATACAGTTCAACCACTACATTAACATCAATTTTTAAGTGTTTATGGATGTGGTCATTGTCTCCAACAATGCTGTCAGATTCTGTAATGTCTTGACCATACGTCAACGCCTTGCGTCTAAGCCTTTTTAAAAGAGCTTCCTCAACTTTCTTGTTTGTTAGTAAATTTTCAATGGCTTTTCTGTCCTCCGCCTTAATATATTCGATGTATTTTGGTTGTAGGTTTGGATCCTGGAATTTCGCCTCCGCAACAAATTTGCCTTAATAAACGAGTTTATCAGAATGTGTTTATTTGGACATGTGATCTGATTGTAGGTTAAGTTACCATAATGGATCCTATGCGATAATGCTTGCAAACAATCGATATCTTTGGTTGTAGCCGAGCCATGATTCATATCATCACCAGGAACGCATAAAGAAGGTATAATATGTTTAATGTAAAATTCCATTATCTTGGAATTAACATTTATGTTATTCGGTTTAAGAATTCGCGGGTATTCCAGAGGCGGAATGATCGGGTCAGGAAGAGGGCCCATAAACGGGTACTCATCAGGACTGATTTGCGGAAAATAATATAGATTAGAGAGCAACAAGTCAATAAAGTCTTCAACTTTAATTTACCTTTGATATCGTCTTGCTTTTGCTATGTATACAAATGTTATCAGTAAAAACCGAATCAAATCTGCCAAAGTCGAAATGCCTCACTCACCATGAACTTTCTCAATCTCCCATAAAAAATACTCGAGGAAACTCCCAGAAAATTCTTCATTTCCTTCGTACTTGTATGCGCCAGGTTTGTAAATAATATCATTATGGGCAAATTGGGATCTTTCGATAAGCGCTTTCAGAACCAACAAACCCCATCATTAACACTTGTTTTATCAATATAAGTAACACCAAAGTATGTTTGTTTACATACCAAATATTATAGTATCCTCTAAGCGAATAAGAACATTTCTAAGCTTATCTAATGAAATCGCTTCGCTTGGATTTCCCGTTACGAGGTTCATGATGTAAAGAAAGGGGGACGATCACAGAATATGGTCGACTAAATTTAGTCGATGCTTATCAATGATCAAAAAATTCACAGATTTACCATAGTCTTGCCCCGTATTGCTATTTATCTTGTTTCCCTTCCCCACATGGCTGAGCAAGGCGAAATTCCAGATCATGTAAATCAAATAAGAACGCGTGTAGTCCTTGAATCGGATATCGTTAAAAACGTAAGACAATCAGTCTACTATGTTTCAATTTTCGTTGCTAGTTTGAAATCCAATTCAAACAGGTTCTCTCTTTTCCCCCCTCCTCCCCCCCTCACCCTCCTTTCCATAAAAGACTGCTGCAACCAACTTTCCTAATACTTATCCGGACATCGACGACTCATGGCGACATGAAGACTTTTGTCAGGTATGTTACGCATTAATCGTCATTACTTGTAACGCTGCTTATAATGGTGAGATGTGTGCGAAAATTTTTTATTTTTTATTGAATTTTCCCTAGAAATTTAAAGTGAAAGTATATCGGTTGACAGATATGGAAATGGAATTCGATCTTATTGGTATCGATGCTTCCATTGCCAATGCATTCCGGAGAATACTTATAGCAGAGGTATTATGAATGGTCGTGGATGCGATGACTTTGGTATCATCGCATCGTCGGAATTTGATATGTGTAATTTGTACAGACTTTTTATGATGAAAAACAATAGTGAGAGTGACAAGACAACTCAGTCTTGTACAAACACTCGGGCAACCCATCCGAAACAATTTTTGTTTTGCATGCGAATGCTGGGGTTTCATTGCCACCGCAATCCAATTATTTTACAGTTACTATTTAATTATAGATTTAACATGTTTGTTGTACATGAAGGTACCTACGATGGCGATTGAGCATGTCTTTGTTTTCAATAATACATCGATTATAGCAGACGAAGTGTTGGCTCATCGTCTTGGCCTCATTCCAATATACGCGGATCCTGGAAAGTTTGACATTAAAAGGCGTAAGTTTGTTGATTTCATAATCACTACACTAAAGCACGTAAATTTATTTTTGTTTTCTCTTTTCATTTTTAGCTGGCGACAATGCGACGGATGCAAATACCCTTGTATTCCAATTAAAGATTAGCTGTGAACAAAAACCCGATGCACGGCCAGACGAAACTGATCCAAATAGAAAGTTTATAAATGCTAATGGTAAAGGATTATCTGACGAGCAATTTAATATCAACAGGCATCTTACACGCAAAAGATAGTTATTGACAAAGTATGGTTACTACACAGTATATTCTGGAGATCTACTATGGATTCCACAGGGAGATCAAGCAGACAGATTTAAAGATGAAAATGCAATCAGACCTGTTGTAGAAGACGTGTTGCTCGCAAAATTACGGCCAGGGCAGGTAATTGAATAAATATCTGCGGCACGATTGGATTTTTTTGAAAAATTCTAAACCTGCTTCTTGATCGTGTAGGTAATAGATTTGGAATGTCATGCTGTAAAAGGAATAGCCAAGGAACATGCCAAATGGTCACCAGTGGGTTAGTTAGTTAGTTAGTTAGTTAATTTGTCTTTATTTCCCCTTCCTGTATTGACCACAACACGTCATTTTTCAATAGCAACCGCATCATATCGTCTTTTACCAGAGATTACTATTAAACAAGAGATAGTAGGTGATCTGGCAGATAGATTTGCAGCCTGCTTTGCTCCCGGTGTCGTGGAAGTCAAAAAGGAGAAAGGTAAACATGTATAATTTTTTTTTCTATTTTGTAGCAGTAATTGTACTCAATCCGTTGTTAATGCACCAAGGAGTGAAACGCGCAAGTATAGTCAATCCACGTCGAGATACAGTCAGTCGAGAAGTTCTAAGACACAAAGAATTTCAGGATATTGTTCAATTATCCCGTGTTCGAGATCATTTCATTTGTAAGTTGGCCTTTGTCCCATTTCATGTGTAATCTAACGACGCCTATTGCTAACATACGCTGGCTATTCATCAGTCAACGTAGAATCAATCGGCATTCTTCCGCCAGAAAAACTTTTTATGCACTCAGTTGAGATATTGGTGGAGAAATGCGTACTGCTTAGAGAAGCGTTAGAGCGCAAGATTGAAGATTCCATGCAAGAATAAACAAGGTAATAATTTAATGTAGGATTTCGTCGGCTAGCCCTGTAAAATGCCGGGTAATTCTTAAAAATTGTACGTTGAGTCATGTGACAGCGTATAATCGAAATCCGAATTTTTCAAGTATGGACTCGTAAGCTCAGTATCGTGCAGAAAAGTTCCCTTCTAAATAATTGGACGATCAAAGATAGCAACGTAGCTGGAAGAAGGCATAGAATCAAGGATCATAAATTTTACTATAGAATTACGTAGATGCAGATTTATACACTATCGTCATGAAGAAATCGCAAAAAAGTCTGATCAAATAAAATGATTTGACAAAACGTCGTCTGTTCTCTTGGAAACAATTGGGATATGAAAATGGTACGCATTGGAGAGACATTCTAACTTGCCTTGGTGAACGATCATCGGTGCTGTATTGTTCATCCAATCGGCTTGTTTCTCTAAATTACATAATACCACGATGCTACTCTCATTCACCGATCAGATCGTCTTGAATCGGTGCATAACGTGGTCTTTCGTAAGGAACCCTTTAGCAGTTTGGATCGGACGCTTCCCTACGTAACTCAAGATCGAGATTGGAATGGAAACGTATGACATGGTAGATTGACGCCATTAATGGTCAAACGATCGATAGGTTAATTTACGAAACAAAAATTAATGTGAATACTATATACGGCATATCACATACAGCGCAATGTCTTTAATATATTTAATAAGTTATTTGTCATCCACAATTGATAAACCGATTTATCAAAATAGTATACAATACATTACCACAAATGCCCATAAAACCCATAGTCCAAAACGACATCATTCTCATCGATCACCGTACCATTAATAGCCCGTTATTACAGTTGAGAACGTTTCCAAATTAATGTTGGTACATTTTGTTCAACGTATTGCTTAAGCTTATACCATGAACAGATTTTCACACACTAGTTATTTCGAAGAAGTCTGGTTTGCATGCATTTCTAATTAATTTGCTTTATATTAATGCAGAAGCAAGTCCAATAAGTTAAATTGTATGTCGATATTCACATTTAATACGAAATTTGGGTGGTATAATAAGAATAGATTTTTATTGATTCGTGCTAAAAATTTGAAAATTAATATTAGCAGCATACCATTTCATTTATTCTCAAAGAAGCGAGTATTAAATATTCCTGCTATCAATTTGTATTTCGGAAAAAGAACTATAACATAATAAACAAAACCTACTTAATACATTTTACAAGCCATAATAGAATTACATCTGAAAAAAAAAAATCAGTGGGCTTGGAACATGTCTGACAAGACAGAATAATGTATTCGTTTGCAGTAAAGTAAATTGTAAAGATAAAGTTTTTCCATTTCAAAAAAACTTTTTCGTGACATTAATACCGTCGCAACAGTTTGAATTCCCGTTGTTTAGATGTCAAAGATGAGCTTCTGTAAAACTTATCCAGTAAATATAGCTTTGACTATAAAATTTTATTAATTTTAGAATGAATTAATTTTTTTAACTAAATAGCGTAAATCTTCATTTGGTACATTTGACAAGGAGTTTCAAACGCCAACAATTTTTTGAACTACAGTCTTTGGTTTTGTAGTAGTCTGATCTTGTAATGTAAACTGGTTTCTCACGTTTATAAACTGCTACAACGTTGAGATGATTAATCGCTGATTAGATCCACTTACTGCCAGAATATTAATATGACATATCAATCAAAAATTTATTGCAAAAAAAACCCCCCAAGTCTGTTACGATAACCATAATGGGATTGACTTTTAACGCATACATTCCTTTTTAGTGACTGACAGACGCGTTGAACGATGGAAACTTTAAGCTTTCCAATCGATTACATGCAAATGACGACATTTACAATATATATGTCGTACATCTGCACCGGAGCACAGGTGTCTACCTTTCTTTTGTTAATACGGAAAGATTTTAAAACGTCGGGTAAATCGAAATTAATATCGTCTGAGAATGATGAGAGAATTTGGTTTTGCGCCAATAATAATTAGCATAAGTTAGGCAAAGAATGTCCAACGGAGGATGTTTAGTATGCAATTATAAATTAAAAGGACTTCAAACCGATTACGAAGTAGTATGTATCGGAAATTGCTATTGACCGTGTACAGGTAATGTTAATTGTATCACATGATACTTGATCATTATTACCGATCAACGATTGATCATTGATAAATTGTTGTTTGTATTACAATGTATCTCTTATTAGTTATTATTATACTTCAACTGATAAAGTTAAATCTTTGTATCGCAAATAATTATTTATTTTATTATCTCATCAACTATTGCTATTTGTTATATCTTATTTGATAATTTAAGGCAATACTTGTTTATATTACGAATGTAATTCTGCTTTGTTAATAATTCGGCGATAAGTGCTGTCAATTATTTCAAGCCATCTAAATTCAAAGAAGTTTGTTTACTATTACAAAGTAACAGCGAGGAAATCGTACACATATGGTATTGCAAATCGGATAGATAGAGGAAATTATAGTAATATGACTGTATGTTAATAACCAGCATACCATGTGTCAATTAATGAGGGAAAAAACGCTTTTGTCTATAATACTAACTTTATCAATATTAAATACTATTTTTAGAAAAATATTAAAAATTGAAAAACGACGAAAAGCGTACCAATTAATCAATTTGACGGCTAACTAAAGTCTTTGATTGCACAATTATTCAAATAATATTAAAATCATAAAATTTATTTTAAATTTAAAAACCGCTTGGTAACAATTGATATAATTGAGTAAGAATAAATGACTCAAATGTTGTCTAACCGAATTGTTTACGAACATTAGTAAATCTAAATGTTGAAAGAACAAACGGATTTGCATATTATGCGACGTTTTTACCATCCGCATTCTCAAGTATAATAGATCACATGATTGCGGCAAGTGTCTACTATATTTTATAGAACAGAGCTTCATTGGGATGTGCTTTACGGCAATGAGTTTAACAGTACTCGAGAGCGAGGCTTCGAATTATGGTTAGCAAAAAGACAATAAGATATTTAATGATAGTAAAGGAGTCCGATGTTTTCGTAAATAAAATTTTATAGTTGTGACATAAACATCTAATATACAATTTAAATAGTGAAACCAATGCTCGAAACTTTTATAATATTGCAAAGTTATATTCGTTATAACACACATATTGGAATCCGGCTTCTATCATAATTTAGGGAAAAGGGCAAATTAAATGCACCACAAATGGAAAAGATACTACTTTAATGGTTAGATCAAATAGCAAACGCAAGGCTGCGGTATATTACAAGTGGTTGAAAATATAGTAACGAGGGGTTACAATATCTTACACTTAAACGCCTGATAGACAATTTTGTCTAAAGCTAAGATAATGAGAACAATCGTGTTAGCACCAAAGGTTACCGTGATTTAGATCAAGGCTCTCAAGAATGATCAACTAAACCTGTTTTGAAAATACGAACGAACAAGAATTGGGTTGTGGGAAGAACTCTTCCGAGTTGCAATTGTTTCAAGAATAAATACAGTGTTTGCTTGGATATTTGCGCATTCAACAATTACTTCTAAAAAAACAAAACTATAAGCAGAAGCAGAGGATTATTTCGACATAGACGAGACGCTATTGACATGTGAAGTTGATCTCTATCTTTGTTCATATGGTATTAAAAAACTTTTTTGAAATAGGGTTAGATGTCAGAATGAGGCATAATAATAAATGGTTTCTCACGTAAAAATTTTCGACTTAACATATTTAACGAAACAATCGCCATACCCCCAGAGTTTTAGTAACCAATTCAGTCCTTTTCTTTTGATCTTAGCAATGTCCAAAATTTAGATCCTTCAAAAGAAAATTGGGACGTCAAAATGTGGAGCGATTATTGTTTATTATTACTATGAGGTAGATCTCTTGCGATAATATTGGTATTACAATAGTATTTTGCAACTTATTCTTGAAAAAAGAATGCGCCACATATATACGATGGATTACAATATGCTTTTGTTAGTTGTCCGTATGTTCTGAGAAGCTGACAATTTATAATATCAATTAATACAATGAAACGAATATTAATATTGTAAACGAACTTCGTGTAGCGTGCAGTCATCTTTGATTTCCATTTCTAGTATCGTATCGGTATATATATACGTAAGCCATCTCACTAGTGAAACATAATATCAGAGTGTTTGCCTATTAATTATTCAAAGGATGCATGCATATAGAATCTAATGATACATGCGAGTTATAATAAACTTAATAGTTAAAGCATTTATTTTAATTTTATTGGTTTTAAACGCACAGACATACATATACATGACTGCATGCATAATATGTAATACAAAATGTTCTATTACTATCCAATTAGTTAATTATTATTAAAGAAATTAATAGACCACGTTTCAGACATGCTCTAAAAGTGGAGAATGCGTGTTCGAATCTGCTTCACAAGAAGGCAGAATCATACAACCAATATCTAATCTGTTTCGACTAAAACATTGGCCAAATTCCATCACATAACATTATATCACTTCTACTTTCTAAAGCTGATCATTATAGCCTTGACGCTACTGCTCATTACAGTTACGATTGGGCACAAAACGTTCACGTGCCCCATTCCGGTCAACAGGTAAGATTTATTATCTCCGTCCACGTAAAGTGCATTTATTTGGTGTTAAATATGAAGCAGTACGCAAACAAATTAATTACGTTCCTGATGAGAACGAATCAATATGAAAAGGTCCTAATGATACGCTGAGCATGGTATTCGGTGTAATTAAAAGACTGAATAGTAATAGAGGCGGAAAACATCTAAAGATTACTTGTGATAATGCGGGTGGATAGAATAAAAATAATGCCCCCAATTGATTTTACTTATATTTAGTAATTTGCGGTTATTCTAATAGTATCGAATTAAATTTCATGGTACCTGGGCATACTAAATTCAAGTGTAATGGCAGTTTGGATTGATTAAAAAGCTTTATCGAAAAACATTTTGTTAGAGATGGATTCAGGGATATTACTTGTTCACAACCAATATATACTGGCAATGAACAACATATTTGGACTAAAATTTCCTTCATTATTTTAATGGTTTTCAGTAAAGATTTCACTCTTGAAAATGTCTTAATCAAGAAATGAGAGGACAAGAAGACTTTTATTATAGATTTTTTAAAAGTTATTAATTTTTAGAAAACTGACTAAAAGAAAGGATTGCTGAGTTGGATAAGAAAAATCAAGACATTATTCGAGTTAACAATGAAAAGATTAAAGCATTGGAAATTGATAAGAAGGAGTTGGAAGAAAAGTGGAAGAATTAGAAAAAGGGTAGACATTGAGATTGAAATAAACTTAAAAGCGTTAGAAAGTCCAAAGAATGATATAATAGAAGAGTTTTTGTAGAGAATATGAAAAAGTTTGTCTTATTATCAAACAAAGAACAGAGAAAGTTAATTTGATTAAAGAAGATGTCAAGCAAGTTTGACACTTATTTTACAAAGAACATGTAATAGTAATCAAAATATTATTAACCAAATTAGTTAAATTTCAGCCACCTCAGCTTCTCATTTACACGACGTTTACGTTGTCTGATTTTGTTGCAGCATACCCCAATTATTATTATGAAAAATTAAAAAATTTAAAATTCTGAAATGAAAAACATAACATTATTGAAACAGCCGGTTCTATATTTTCTAAACAGTATCAACAACATTAAATTTTAATATTGTAATTTCGTAATAGTAAGAGCTTATTATTAATCGCTCTAGTTCTGTTAATAAAATTAAAAACTTGTGTATTAAACGTAGCAAACTTAACGATCAAGCAAAGGTTAAAATATCAAATGTAAAATGCAGAAAATATGTCCCAAGTTCCGGTTCTGGTCCTAATATTAAATTTTCAGATTGTTTCAGAAGTTGGATCAAAGCAAACATTTGTCGAATTAAAATATTGAGTTACTACTACTATAAATAACAATAAGATATTAGTATCAATTCTTCACCAGTCTTGCAATAAAATTTAATTTCTGGTTATTGATTTAGTTTACTACGGAATTACTTATTACTTGCAAGATGCCAGTATGTTTGGTTATAGTCATGCAAACATTCCAACACAAACCTGCTGGCTCATGTATAGTTATGTTAATATATGTTAGTAAATAACTATGTAAGCCTTTGATATCAAAACTTACATCATCTGATTGATGCTCCAAAATGTCAATGTAAATAACAGTCTCCACACCTATTCGAGCTTCCTTTAATATTAAATGTACTGGTAATATCTTCATTAGAGTCATCACTTGTATATTCTATATCTCTGCATTGAATGTATTAGCATTAGTATTAGCCTTTTATCTATTTATTCGAATTCTTTCCGCAAATCATAATACCAAATAATGAATGGAACACACGTAACATGGTAAGCACTTTACGTTGTAGAGATTTTGTCCGATGAGAAAGGAAAGTTGTAACCAGATCAACGTCCGCGCATATTAATATGGAACATAAACAAACCAGCTTGCAAACTGGGTGGTGCACATCATCATAATAATAATGGACAATGCAGGAGTTTTCTGGTTATTATTTAAATTAAACAATCCACTGTCAGAAGGAAGAAAAATGCAGTTTTTTTATTCTTAATCCAATGTGCCAGATTTCCTAATAAGGACAACGACGGCGGCAAGCCGTTCCCAAATAAATGTAACCAAATAACAAATGATGTGATTGTAAAAGGTTTTGAAACCAAAATTGAAACCACAGAATGTCAACGTTATTTTGACAAACAATAGTTCTGTGAAAATAAAAAGAATAGCATCGTTAATTGATTGATCCATAAAACAATGATTGAACAATTTGACCCCTGAAACTCGTTCGTGGGCGTTAAATGTTTCTTGACACATACCCATTTTTTGTTCGCTTTCTCCCACTTTGCCGTTTTCTTCTATCTTCCGTCCTTTAATGGCGTCTGATTTCCTAGCCTTACTTTCCAGAGATTTTGGTAACATTCTCGAATCTCGAGACTACGTAGACTTGTCCATAAAGAGCGGCAAAGAATCTGATGTAAAACTATTCGAAGCCCATAGTCTTGTTGTGTGTGCTCGATGTCCGTATTTCAAAAGCGTATTAGAAAAGAACATTAATATGAACAAGAAGTCTTCATACTTTGTCAAACTGGAAAATATCTCACCAGACACTTTTGAACCATTACTCAAGTGAGTATAGAATTCATTAATTTTTGCCAGTATGCAACCGCCCAGAGTTCGTTCCAGTAGATCTCATGTCTTTAATAGGTACATATATACAGGTTGTTTGCCAATATCCAAACACTCAGCTGAAGAATTACTATCTCTTCTGCTTGCAGCGAAAGAATTAGGTCTCAAAGATCTCGTATCTTACTTCCAGACGCGTTTAGTGACTCATCATTCGCCATATCTGCTACGGAATATAATATCAATCAACAAACTTGCTACCGCTAATTCAGACTTGTTCACCGTCCTCAATGATTACTGCAAAAAAATTATCGACTCGCAACCTTCAATTTTATTCAGATCAAGCGAGTTCGCAACACTTGATGAGGGAATGCTAGTTGCTTTGTTACAAAGAGACGATTTGCAAATACCAGAGAGCTCTGTGTTTGATTATGTTTTTACTTGGGGACTAGCTAGGCATCCTGGTATGGACGAAGATCCTGGAGCGTGGTCAGCCGAAAATGTTGAATCGTTGAGGAATACCTTAAAAGAGAGTATACCATTGATAAGATGGTTTCATATTCCTTCCTGTGACTTTGTGGATAGGGTAAAAGTCTTTGAGAGACTATTACCAGAAGAGTTGTATTACGACCTGTTACGTTATTACATGGTTCCGAATTATGAACCTACTTTTATAGTACTACCACCCAGAAACCGTTCGAGCCAGGTCGTTCAAATCTTAAAGCAGATTGTAAGTGAGGACTGTGCAAGGAGAAATGGCCGAAAATCAATAGTTGCGAACGAAAGCAACAAAGGAAAATCAACATCTCATAATGAATTAGGATCCGTTAGTGAAAAATCAAAATCACAAGTATCAAGTAAAATCACTCGGCGCTTTTATAGATTGTCAGACTCGGAAGAAGAGTCAATAACATCCCCATTGACAAGGCTATACATAGAGCACGACTGTCTCAAGTCGGTCCTATTGACTCGAGCTCAATTAAATTGGCTCGCATCAATCATCCAACCTAATTCACCGTCAACACTCACTTTCACTCTCCTACTGCGTGGAACTCGTGACGGGTTTTCATCTGAAACGTTTCACAGCCTCTGTACTAAAGTCGGTCCGACAATAACAGTTGCACGTGTTGCACTGAGTAATGAACTTGTCGGTGGATATAACCCGCTGAACTGGGTTTCTACCCTTGGTTTTGATTATGCTGAAACGGATTCAAGTTTCTTGTTTGGGCTTAGAGGTCAACAAGAAACTGGGTTGGTAAGTCGTGTTACAGATACATCTACCGCTATCAGATATCACAAGAACTATGGACCTATATTTGGGGGGGGACATGATTTGGTAATGCTAAATAATACCGAGGTCAGTATGTGGAGTTGTAAAAAATATTCATATGCTAATCGTATAAGGGCAGGAGAAGGTTGTTTCGTGATTGATGAGTATGAGGTCTTTGCTGTACAAATAAAATAATTTGCGCATAGAATATTTTTATTGCAATTATTAAATAGATGAATGATACAAAAAATTATGATATTTGGTCTCTTGGCAGGGACCGATGATATTAATAAGAAAATCTCGCATACATTTATTCCATATTCCCACGTTGCAAGCTTGTCTGATGTATACAACCCTATTCGTCACCGCCTGTTTCCAACCATTTAGCATACTTTTCTAATCTCGCAGACTCTTCTTCCTCAGTTTCATCTGCCTTTGAGCCTGATTTTTGGAATCTGCGCTTGCCATCATAAAGCCCTGCTTCTACACGACGACCACCAAAGAAGCGACCATTCATTTTCTATTGACAGAAAAAATAAAGAATGGTTTAATAAAACAAGCAGATTTCCAACCGACTATCCGCATGTACATATTATGAAAATAACATACTAGAATACAGGCTTCAGCACTAAGCGGTTCCTTAAACCTGATCGAAACAACACCTTCAGGTTCTTTCTGTTTAACGCAGGCACAACATAATTGTCACTATCGAATTCGGAAATCATTGCGCAAAAAAGGAAATAATCCGACTTACGTCGTACAGGACTACATTTGTGACTTCGCCCAACTTTTCACATTCTGATCGGATGTCTTCTTTGAGATCCAGAATTAGACCTACATCTTTCTGCAACAAATGTTTTTAACGATAACCTCTGTTAAATAGAAATGCTAGTCAAATGCGGCATAGGTATCTTTCTGATTACCTCTATTTCTTCAAGCGTAAACATATGCTTTAGTATGACGATTTTGCTGTAACGCTCGGCCTTTTTACCAGTTTCTTCGTCAAACCAATCGAGTTTTCTAACAGGCATAGGGAAAATTAAAATCATATTTTCGATAAAATTCAGACAAGCGCAATATCTAGAGAGAAAAAAAACACGTCCATACTTTTCGAGTTTTTGACGTGCCTTCTGCACTATCTTTTTGTCCGGTTTGTTATTCTTTCGATCATTTTGGTTATCAGATGGCTTCGACTCTTTGGACTTGAATTCTGCCTGTAAAATGTGTGTTTTCCAATATGTAAAATCGCCCAATCCAATCCAAGCATTCTGATGGGCGGCGATGGTGGCGTTTCAAACAAAACATGTAAATGCAGCATAAACTAACCATCTGGACACGAAGCTTGGACTCTTTGCCAGGTCGTAGGTCAGTATCATCTAGCAACTGACACGCTAAAGTGACGGATTCTTCTTTCAAGTAAGTGATCAAAGCGTCTCCTTTGAGGTTATTCTTATCGTCTTTGTAAAGTTTGATCCTTGGTCCGCCTGAGAAATAGTGACGTTAACAAATATATTCTCCATAAAATATTGCATCCATATTGACAGCGATCAATCTTGTGGGGGGGGGGGGGGGGGCGTTTACGTGAAATTCGTCAAGTTTATCCTTTTTCCTTTTTCCTTATCCCTCGTCATTTTTAATAGTACTAGGACGTACCGTTGACAAAATCTTCCATTAATAGACCACATTTAGAGAATACTTCTGTCAACTCCTCAACTGTGACATCGCTAGGTAGGTTGGTGACGTAAACCGATGTATTGGTAGGCTTCCTTTGCTGCTGTTGATGATTGTGCTTTTGTCTTTTTCCTGAATTATTATCTGGCTTCAAAGGGAAATTTAAAAGAGTACATTGATTAAGCAGTCGGCCTAAATTAGTTAACATAGTCCACTAAAGAGAGTCGTCGACATACGTCGTCCATGGTGTAGACGTTTTTGCGTTTGTTGCGTTTCTCTCGAATTACCGGAGCCTATAACAATTTGGCAGTGAGTTGGCTATAGCAATTAAAGAAAAAGAAAAAAAAGGAATCGAATGCAATTTGAAGAATTGGGTAATATAAAACTTTAATATTATCATTTTTAACAACCATCGAAAGAGCTTTATTGATAAGCCTTAATCATATCGGAACAAAGTCCCATGTAAAGCAGCAAAGTTGTCAACTTGCAACTAGTTCTATAACTACGACAAATTACATTGCGACTCGACCATTGACATGAAAAACTTGTGCCTAATGTCTCTGATAAAAGCCACCACTACCTCTGGCGGAAGACCCCTGTTTGCAACCATAAAAAACCTCAAAATCTTCCTATACCATCAAACCGTTAATTTGCCTCAAGATACGTCAAATTTGCACTTACAGCTTCGTCCACTCCAGGCACGGAATAGGCCGACTGTTGAGCTTCAATCAATTGCTCATTAAACTGCAAACGTTTCCCAGGCGTCAATGTTCTGTGCTCCGCCCCTCCTTCGAGCTCATTTATTCTATAGAAGCTGTGTCCTCATACCATAGGAAACCAAGCCCCTTGTGCTTCATCGTATTCGTATGGAACTCCGTCGTCGTCTGTATATGTCCATTTTCCTGTTTCTTCAATAAAATGCATACGTGGATCAGAAGAAAATTCTGATTTTACGCTAGAAACGGGATTTGTCGTGGTGCTGGTATCGTCAGTCGACATAATAATGGATATGTTGTTAGAAACGGTTTCTTTGAATTTGGAAACAGGTATAAAGAAAGTAAGTATCGGTGTTTTCTGGTCGCTCTGTCGAACACAATTAATTACGACCCACATAGTCACGTGCGTAAAAGTTTGTGTGTGGCTTTTTCCCTTATAGGGTTCAAGGTTGCCAGGCGATAAACACTCAACATGTTAATAATTGAAGCAAGTTAATCGCGCAGTTCCAAATTAGTATTCATTACCGAAAATTATCTGCAAAAATGTGCTAAATTTTCACTCCATATGCCTGCAACCGCATGCACTTGATGGCTGCACAAGCGAATCCGTTCGCCGTCATATGTCGTTAAAGCCATGTTCAGTTTTTGAAATGCTCTAGACGAACTCACTGTCTTGGATCAGTTATTATTGAGTATATAACAAAACGAATACTGTTTCAAAAAGGTTTGCTTTACTATTAGTGGCTCGTACTTGAATATATCATGACAACCACCAATATATACTTGAAGTTAGAGCATAACTGCCTTTTTTATATGAAATTACTAATTATTAGATAAATGACAATAGACTCAAAAAATTAGAAATATATATTTACATAAAGGAAGAACGAAGTATTCAGATAAAGAATGAATTCTTAAGAGAAAAGACAGAAACTGCTCAGAAGCAGAGTTCGTATCAGTGATTTAGCGCGTAAGGTCAACCAAATCACATTCATATGCTCCAAATGAATCCAAATATCCCACTCCGAACGAAGTAATTGCTCCAACATTATTATAAGAATGTCAAGCACTTCCTGAAAAATTCCCAAAAGTGAAGGAATAAGTTCCTGTGGTAATTGGGTCAAAAAATATTAACTCAATAGATAAAGAATGAATTCTTAAGAAAACTGCTCAGAAGCAGAGTTTGTATCAGTGATTTAGCGCGACAACCATCTTTTTTTGTAGTGGTTTTAATAAGGTTATTTCAACAAGTTTAGTTCGAAGCCACTGAAAGTTGTATTGAACACCATTTACTTGGATACATAAAACTGTTAGAATTTAAAGATATTATTTTCATTTGTGAAATAAAACGACGAGAATAAATTTATGGAGGAATATTTTTCTTGTCCTAATGTATATCACCGTAAATACACGTTCTGAATATTAAAAATCGATATCTTATTTCAGTACATCTTATGCGTATCAAATCTGATACGTGAGCAATGTCAAACGCAAGTGTCACAATCCAAATATCACGTAAATATATATATCTCTTTGCCTTAAATAAACAACGTTTGTCTATAATGTATAAAACTTGCTTAGTTAATATCATGACCATTAAACGATCGTGCAGTCAAAGTTACTGCAAACGCCTACATTCTATTGGTGCTATATTATTATCTCTCTTGGCCAAAGGGCTTGTACATATTTTACTTCAAAATTGAAACTACGATAACGAATGTTTGGTCAAAAGCTTTTAGACATCCGATAGAAATCTGATGCCCATCGATGGCCTTTTAAAACAGGCAGGTAGACTAGACGTGGCTATTCTATTAAAATAAGTTATTTAGCAATAATACGAAAGGCCATAACGACAGTATTTTTTTTTGCCACGTTTCAAGTAGTTAATTAAACGTCGAGAGCGTGTGCACAATCTAGGATGCCAAGTCTTTCCTGCAACAGCAGATTTATCTGATTCCAATAATGTGTTTACTCATGACAAATTGCTGGTTTCAAAGCAGGACTTTAATAATTATTACACACTTAATTCGGTATCAAAGGACTGATCTTTTGGTAGAAAATCACCAGTCACTAGAACAAAGATCATTTGACTCGTTGTAATGGATATATTAAAATAAGTATCTCCTATCCGTTGTGTACTTTATTTTAAACTGTGTTTACCTCGATAATATGATACTATTGATTCCAAACTTTAATTAATTTCCGACCATGATTCTCTGGTTCTGTAGTATTTTGCTTCACGTAATCTATGCATTTGACTTTTAATCAGGATAATGAAGGGATCATGAAATCCAATTCGCAACGATGGTAATCACCGGAGTACAACGATGTGATTAGAGTAAGGGAAATTAATACTAATGGTATTGTTGGACAGATCCAGACTCGAGTATGACGCTATCACTTGAATACTGAAATGTTATCAAACACCGAGTTACGTTACGCACTCACTAGAGATATCATTTCACATCCGTGCCAAGTTTTGCTAGATTAACTACATGTCTGACGAATAAGTTATTATTGATTCTCTAAAGGAATGTAAATGCCCGTTACCACGTGGAAAGCAGTTATTCATTGGATAATGTGGGTTTCAAAGTAGCAGACAAGAACTTTATAATACCGACCGGTTGGGTTCGGTAATCCGAGAGCAGCGTTTTATCGACTTTGTCAAAAGTCTATTATGCAGTCTTCGACCTCCCCTCCAGCAGCCAAATATTATAGGTCAGTAAAATTATCTCGAGAAATCAGCATACACCCTACACAGATGCATCAAATAAAAGAATGCATCGGAATCAAGGGTTAATCTAGGAACAAAATATGCTGACCACAGATTTCGTTTGTCGAATAATCTTGCGAGTTAAACCGTCTCAAACATTTGTTGTAGGAGGAAGGGACAATCTTTATTATGACAATTGCATTGGCTTTGAGAGTCAAAAACTGCATAAAAGTTTTACAATGAATGCTAACAATGAGAGAATGTGTACCATTTGTTTAGTTTACGGATCCCATCATGCGTCATAGTGTTTCAGCAATTTTAGGAAATTACTATTTCTGCGAGTGGTCAAACCGAAACCTTGTGCGAGAGAGATGTCTTTATTAGATTCAAGTTACAGTTTATTATTTCTTTTTAGGACAAAGAGGTTTCTGTAAATGAATAATAGCAAAAGTGACAGTGGATTAGTTATAACAAAGTGGAGGGAGTTTACTTGAACAATGAGCGTGCATGTGATCATACCGCATCAAGGGATGATCGGCACATTCATTTTGTGTAGTAACTCTAAATATCAATTGGATTTTATTAATATTAAAATACCCAGCAAAAAACCAATGACTAGTTTGACGTTACAATATACTATATACAGCGAATAAGATAATTTATAATTACAAAAGATACTTGCCTGTGAGTGATAAGTGTGATGTACTATATTTGGGTTGTTTTAGTGGAGGGACGTATACAAGGGGAGTAACAAAATAAGTAATCAATTCTAATTTATTGTGTGATATGTATCAAATGATCTGCGCAGCCAAATGTAAACCAACAATTAATAATATATATATTAATAACTACTCAAATGGAGAAGAAAAAAAGCAACCATTAGCATTTATCTAGTATCAAATCACTAACAGAACGTAGATTATATCACTTTAAAATGGTCCAACCTATCAACATATACCTCTTATCTGCTAATGAATCACTTATTAACCTAACTTTACCCGCCAATGTGAAACGTCAGGCGTCTATGCCGAAAGATATTCCAAAGAGTTCTTATTTGTGACACCAACATCTCCCCCACGAGAGAGAGCGGAATTGAGAGATGAGGGAAAAGGGGTGGGGGGGAGAGAAGCAGGAATCACAAAAAGAAGAGGAAAATAAACATCTATTGAACAAAGACTCTATTATTTTTCGTAGAGGTTGTAAAAAATTACCACTATTCAATGCGTTGGCCTGATTATGGCGACATATATATACGCGATGAAATTGGTAAGTTTTATTTAGTCGGCGTAATTTGGATAGACAAAGAACGGAGGAGATACAAGAATAAACGAGACAAATTGGGGGGAATAGACGTTTGGTTTTCTTGACATGCGCATGTTCAATTCCTCCCATCAACAAAATTACCATTATTCTATGCAAATTAACCAATTTCCATTCACACTGCATTCTTAGATAATCAACACCCTGCTCCAAGCGAAACAATCCATATTAATGTATATGTATTCTATGTTTATTCTCATTTTTTTACTCGTTTCCGTACTACATAAATTAACTTCGCCCACATCCGCCTCATCCCCCCCAAAAATGTCTCTTTTGTTTAAGAAATAGCAACACAACCGACAAACATTAAAAAAAACAAGACCCCAATATCCAAAAAAAAAAAAAAAGTACATATATAAATATAATATCACACATCCAATCTGCGATCAAATCTTCACTTAATTCCATTCTTATTAACATCTCACAACTCCACTTTACTCGCCCCCATTGACGAATCACGAATTATCCTTGTCTTACCCTTTCACACTATAAAAAAATATACTAGCCAACAATAAACGCCTGTTTTAATACTCTTCTAAAACCCACCAAAAAAATAACTTTCATTTCATTTTGAACTGCTCTTTATTCCGTCGCCATTGTCGCTCAAATTGCAGTCAACTTACGATACTGAAAACAACTTGTCCGGTTATCAACATAGACTAAAATAATATAATAACCAAATACTCTGGTTAGCCTCTTTCGACTGTAACACCATATTATTATTGCATTGAACTTTTTACCAAGACAAGTCTTTACATCTGTCATTTTGCGTTGGTCCCTCACTATCTCTTTCTTCGTCACAATCCAACAGCACACCTAAGGTATTCTTTCAGAGTCGGGAATTCATAAACACTTTGTGAATAAGTAACCAATAACGAGAGGATATTAAAGCCTGACTCTACAAAAACTAAAAATACATAACGCAACGACTTAAAATCATAAGAATCGGAAAGTCACCAAAAAAAAAACGTGGGGGGAAATCAATACCGCTAAATATATACACATATTCACATATATAAAACGTAAGAACAAAGAAGATTATTCCCTCACAATACGCAAAAAAACACTCACAGCCATGAGCCAATCACAAGGAACTGCTGACGGTGGGCAGACATTGACGGGAGCAGTAGAGCAAAAACCGACAAATTTGAACGTTGGAAGCAAAGGTAGGAATGGAAATCTATTAATAGATTTCGAGTTTGACTATTTTGTTAGTATGGGCTTTGGTTACTGGAGTTATTCTACCATAAGAGTAAGAGTCCGCCTTGGAAACAAGATTTAAGATGAATAGTATGTAGTAACAAATGGACACTAGATATATTTCGGGTGGGCGAGCGGCCCAGGTCGAGCAAAAGAATTCTCTCTATGGTGGATTACAGGATGGAAAACCCAACTTGTGTGGACAAGGAAGTGTTTATATAGAAACAGGAATAACGCTATTGATGAATAGAAAAACGAGTAATGTCGTGTGGATAAAGACGTGTATCAGAGATATATAAGACATGGATAGGATGGAGAGAGAGAGAGAGAGAGAAGCATGCATACATACATATGTACATACGCACACACAAAGAGAGAGACCGAGTGAGACAGAGAAATAGAGATGATTAGTCAAGTATGGAAGTAATAGTGGTGATAGCAATAGTCATAGTAGAGTAACGACAGCGACATTCACAGCAGCTATGTGACAACAGCGGCAAGCAAGCAGTCATTTAATGTAGTAGAGAGAATTCGTGAAGGATTTGATGAGAATGATTTGTATGAAAAGGATATGTGTGAGCGCTGGAATGGTTGTGTATCGATAAACTCTCTTAACGTTGGGAGTATTATCATTAAGAATGTATTTTAGCTCAACATACTTTGATAGCACTTACCCAATTTTTTTCTCTATTTTTTATATCCCTCTCCCCAAAACCCAACACTTTCCTGCTCTTTCCAACTCACCCATAGGAGGTTCAACCAAAAATGTGTCAATCTCGACATCCGCCACAACCGCAACATCAACCATAACTACACCCAACTCCTCGACCTCTCCTACAATCGTTCACAAAACTTCTTCCTCTCGCGCGCGCCATTTCTTTCTCAACATATTCAGGTGTGGTTGTTGGCACGACAATCACATTGAAACCGATCAACAAATCATACCAACAAGTGACCATCGGAAATCGAACGATCCTAATAACAAACCCGGGGATAAAACCACGGGAGAGGATAGTGTGAAAGCAGATGAAATACCCGACCCAAGGGTGGATCCAAACGAAAAAGTACCGGTCGACTCATTGCAGCCGCAGAAGCCTGCTGCCGATGATGAAACCGAGGCAACTGATGATGATGATGATGATCGTGGTGAAGAAGAAGAAGATGATGACGACGAGGTTGAGGTTAGTTTCGATCGGAAAAGTTGGGTGGGAAAATTGGCAGAGTAGGGAATATGTTTTGTCTGATATAACCTCGGGGAGCAGCGATATGCCTGCTGTCATTTTGGAACTGAGGCGATGTCCCGACATTGCTTGTTGATAGCTTAGTATACAATACCGCCTTGCCTACGAAGTTTAACGAGAGACTATATTTGCTACGGTATATCAAGAACTAACTTGGCAATTTCTATAGGAAAGGAGATGGCTTCTTGACCCTATTGGGCCAGAGCATACTGGACGAAAATGTCTAGTGCTTGACTTGGATGAGACACTAGTACACAGTTCCTTCAAGGTGAGGCTTATTGTCCTGCATAATATCTGTTTAGCGTATCAACTATACTGTATTAACATTTATGCGCATGCTTTTTTTTTCCTCGCAAAAATTTACACTTTCATTTTCGATAACGATTCGCCTACTCTACATTAGTTAATTCAGCAAGCCGATTTCGTAGTACCGGTAGAGATTGAAAGTCAAATACATAACGTCTATGTAATAAAACGACCGGGCGTGGATCATTTTTTGAAGAAAATGGGTGAATTATATGAGATAGTCGTATTTACGGCCAGTTTATCAAAAGTAAGTGTAGAGTTTGTCAGTAAAGGTGGGATCGGTAAACATGACGGCTTTTTTCCATGCGTTAATGTTGATTTTTCTTTCGCTGCCCCCAGTATGCGGACCCCGTACTCGATATGCTTGATATACATAGAGTTGTTAAACATCGTTTATTTAGAGAATCATGTTATAATCATAAAGGAAACTATGTAAAGGTATACTATTTTTACTTTTTTGTCGTTGTGCTGCCTAACCTTTTCTTCCCACACTTCACACTTTTTCTCACTCGTTGCTGACTTGCTTTTGCCAAACTCCTTTACAGGACTTATCTCAAATCGGACGTGAGCTGAAGGATACAATCATTATCGACAATTCTCCAGCAAGTTACTTCTTCCATCCGACAAATGCTGTTCCGATATCATCATGGTTTAATGACCCTCACGATACAGAATTATTAGACCTTATACCGTTCTTGGAAGATCTAACAACAGTTGAAGACGTAATGATGGTCCTAGATTGTTCGAATGAGGAGCCGCAAAGAGAAGAGATTGAGGAGTAGTCAGGAGGCGGATGAATTGGGCGTGTGGTAACAAAAGAGAGAAAGACGGTATTTAAGTCTTGTTGTATTGTGTTGTCGTGTTGAGCTGTAATGTTATAATGTTAATACGTTGTTGAGTAGTAATGACCTTTATAATAGATTGTATTCAAATGCCAATCATTTCATAATAATATCATATTAAATAAATTCTACGATCGCGTAGCGAAATCGATTTGTCGTTTACGATTATTAAACTAGACTCGTTTACTGGGGAACAACCGAGAGCGAGTATAAGGAATTACTTAAATAGACGCGTCAAAAGCTATTGCCCCTTTATATAATCGATACACTCTTTGACTAGAAATTATTATTAAACAATCGTTCTATTCTTGTGTCGTTGCTAAACTAAGCCGGATCTAAATTTCGGTTTCTCACGTGATCTAACATAACAGTATGGTGATGAATCAAAGTTTGTGACAATAACGGATAAGGATGGGAAAGTTAAAAGTTCAGCTCATGTGGTGAAGAAGATATAAGTAAAAAAGATATTAAACAAAAGCGTGCAAAGAATTTGTAGGCTAAATTTCTTGTGAATGTACAAAGGCTAAAACCTTTTATGAGATGTTTACGTGATGTTTAACTAATTCCAAATTGTCACATATATCACAGAAATTTTGTAGGTTATTGCAATTGTGCAAGAGATTATCCTAATGTGACAATTCCGAACGGATCAATCCTAACATGTTTAATATTCATACTATCACCTGATCTTCAATATGTACAGGGATGATTTTAGTATTAGCTTTATTTAATTCTATACCATAAATATGCAGGTAATGAGGACAGAATAATATTGTAGTTTTAATCACTCTCCTTCCAATTATACTCTTCCGATATTCGACTATCAGCTGGATTGTATCGACTACGAGCGTTCGTTTGACGTTCTTTCGAGGCTGGAATGTGTCTATCATTATAACGGCGGTCAGGATAACGCCTGTCATTATAAGGTCTGTCATTATAAGGTCTGTCATTATAACGGCGGTCACTATAACGGTTGTTATTATAACGTCTGTCGTTATGACGGCTGTCGTTATAACGGCTGGCCGTTAAACGATCCCTTTTGTCTTCTATGGAGACGTTATGCTTCTCCATATGTTTTGCAATCTCATCAGCGATACTATCCTCTTCCAAAATATTACAACAATTCAAGAAAATGTCAATGTCCTCTTCATCAGGCACGTAATTGCAGGCGGCCATCTCGTACCAGAGATTAAGCGCGTCTTTATATAATTTAGCGCTGTGGAAATTCCTCGCCAGCACGCTGAGTATAAAATGGGACGGTTTCAGTTCCCGCTCCCGCATCCTTTTGTACCACCGAAATGCGTCTCTTAATTTTCCCGCCTTGCAAAATCCAGTTATTATCTGCTGATACATTTCGGAATTCTCGTTAATTGCATACTTGACACGCATTTCCGTGAGATATCGCAAGATGACAGCGTCGTTTTTATGCTGGGCAGCAAGCCATAATATAAGCTTAAACGTAATCCGATCAGGATGCACGTTGAGTGATTTCATCCTTTCGTACATCGACTCGGCCAATTCATAATCGTCACCTTCTTGAGCTGCCGTTATAAAAGCATTAAACGAAGCTGCATTCGGCTTGACCTCTGACTTTATCATATTCTCCAACACTTCAAACGCAACCTTTAAATTTCTGGTAGATAAAAGTCCATTAACGATATTAGAATACGTATAAGCATCGGGCCTCACGCCTTCATCCTGCATCGAGTTCAAGACACGTATAGCATGTTCGAGATCGCCCAACTTGACGTGCACATTGATCAAGAGCGAATATGTAACCGCGTTTGGTTTTACTTTTGAGTATACCATATCTCTATAGATTTTGAGGGCTTCGCTGTAATTTGATTCTAAAAGAGCATGATTCAAGAAAGCGTTATAGTCTCGAATAGTTAGCTCTTTCTTGGCCAACTTCAACTCTAACATCCCATTCAATCCCGTCCTTCCCAACTGTTCGTAAATATAAGCGTCAGGAGGAATACGAGCGATTTTCATTTCCTCAAACATTTCCAATGCTCGCACCCTATCCCCGCGTTCTATGAACCCTTTGATAAGCGTATTATAAGTTACTATTGTTGGAGTTAATCCGGCACCTTTCATTTCCGCAAAGTATTCCATTGCAAGGTCCATACTGGTAGTATTATGAGCGCAAACTTTGATAAGTGTATTATATATCTTTTCATCGGGTTGAAGTTGCTCATTTTTCATCAATTCGAAAAAAGTCTTTGCTCTCTCAATGCGTGTCTCGCCTCCGTATACGTTAGTTGTCCTTCCGCATGCATCAATCACGAGAGTGTAAGATCGCAACGTGCGCGGAATTTGGCGCTCACGCATTTCATCGAACAGTAAAATAGCATTCATCGCAGACCCTAGTTTCGAGTGAGCTTGCATCATAGTGTTATATGTTACGGTATCTGGAGGGACGGTCTTGCTCTTTTTCATTTTCCTAAACAACTGTTTCGCCGATTCCAAATCTTTCAACTCTGCAAACATTGAAATCATGATGTTGTATGCTGATGTAGTGACTTTACCACCCCTATCATTAAATATTGTATGCATCATCTGTGAGACACCGGGTATTGAAATATTTTGTTTGAATGCTGTAAGGAGTCGATTAAAATCTCTCTCCTTCATCTGTTGTAACTGTAAGGGATCTGCGTCTTTGTAATCTTTCCAAATGTCATTAATATCACGATCAATCACGTTTATTCGAAATGTCTTTTCCTCTTCTTCTTCCTTGTTTAAATTCAAAACATCTGCTTTTGCGTCTATGGATGATTTCGTTATTTCTTCCTTATGGATTGGTAGATCATGATCTCGTGATGATTCCCTGTCAAGTGCCTCTGTTAAAATTGACAGTAGGCTCTGGTCTGCATTTTTCGTTTCGGCGTTAGGGCTAGACACTGCATCTTTAGAAAAAACTCTTCTGGAAGTGGAAATGCTATGCCATTGGCTTATGTCTTTGCGGATAATGTGTGATATATTGTGCTCGAGTCGGTTTGGTCGGATAAAGTTGAATGTCGTTCGAGTACTTATAAGACTGATGATCCGTCTGTTTCGAATAAACGTTAACATGAAATTATCGGAAATCAAGGCGTATGAGACGTGATGCACAATATATTTTGATCCAGGATCAGTATTTATTAGAGACAAGAATTGACCAATTAGGTATACGCATTCACTCGAAATTTTTTTTTTTCAGTTGATCACAAAAGCCGGCGGATCTTCAGCTTATTTCCTGCAAGCAAGAATTAAAGTCATCACTAAGAAAGAATTGCCTTGCCTTTATCCTTTTAATATTGACAGCTTGCTCTATAAGTCATTTGGTTTGGTTTTGACAAGTCGACCTATACAGTCACACGGTCGGGTGATTGTATAAATGAATTTGATAGTCATGTGATTAATTTATCTCGCAAACGCGTGACACAAAAGTATTGTTTTTATGATTATGACCATATTCTAAGTACTCCATATAAGCATAGTTCATTTTGATATTTCAAGACTCTTCATCCTCTTTCTGTGATTAGACATATTTGCAAACCATCCTAAGACCGTATTCCGTAATGTAGCGTATTTGAAATGTAACCCGAGCATATATAATAATCTGTTCATTAACTATATACTGTGATATTAGTTATACTGAAATCTCCCCACTGATATTAATGTACAAAGATTGTTAAATAGTGACCAAGATTTCGAAGCAGATTTCACTATCGTCACAAGTAATTTACATATTAATATGTATCAAACAAATTAGGCAGAAGATGTTATATTCAATGTTATTTGCGGTCTTTATTAGCCACACGTACGGTGACTGCTAACAATATCGTTTGTTGCTAGCCAATCGGTCCATTAATTATATGAAGAAAGCAAATTATGTACAGTTAACAAATAAAATAGATATAAATATTCCCCTACGACATGTTAAGAGGGCGGTGACAAAAATTTATATATCCCACAGTTACGAATTAAATTAAATAAATTTAGCCTTGTTTGGAAGCTTATTAGATACTTCATTTAATAATAAATTTTCAGTATGAGATTATTTAATAAAATTAATTCGCATCTGCTTTGCATGGAGAAAACTAAATTATTAACTATTTCCTGGGGAATTGCATCCCATTCCTCGGTCACAAATCTCATTAATTTGTCCACATTCTGTGGCCTCCGCCTTTCAACGTTATTTTTCATAACTTGCCATTTTCAATTGGGTTAATATCGGATTGTAGTCAATCGATAAATTATTTGGCAGCACGTGATGTGTGCTTCGGATCATTGTCCCTTGTAAACGCCAACGTCTCCCATACATTCTTTGGGCTGCAGGTAGAAGTTGGGTTTGTAATATGCTCACATATCCATAATTGCGTTGCTGGGCTTGCGCAATTCAGGTATAAAAAAAAGCAATTTCTATAGAGAAATACATATAACTGGACGATTCTTCTTGAAAAATTTACCAGCCCCTGTTTGGACAAATCAATCGCCAAAGGCGGGTAATTATAACATGATGGTAATAAATATGTAGTAATTAATATTATACATTCTTCGGAATAGATTATTACGTCTTCTAATCGATGATTTTGAAGTCAAACGATTTCATTCTTGATTAAAATATATATTATATTTAACAAAAATAGTACGTTCAATTAGGAGATTGGTGTCGTGTCGTTATTCCTTATAGTTAAAAGTATAGAAATGCGTTGTGTTAGATTACGTTCTCTTATCGCACGTTAATAGGCTATTTCTAAAATTTTACGCCAGTTTTGCGACCGTAGCGTTTTGTTTGCATTTTACCCCGTTTTTTTATATACATACCATTTTTATATATAATTTATTATTTTTCTACTCATTATGTAAAATGGACTAAAACTTCTCTGCAACACTACAGGAATTCTAACTACCACAGAAACTTGTTGCGCCTTTTCAGCAAGCGCAAAAGAACACTCACAGCAGACTATTCGCCGTGTACCAATTTCACGAGCTGTGACGCTCTCAATTTACACATATTGACGAATTTTATTAAAATTTCCCAACTTTGTTTTTGCATCAATAATAATCCTGAAAAAGTGTAAATATGTAAATAAGTAGATAGCAGTGAAATACACAATTGTATTTATAGTCGTTAAAAAGAGTCATAGAATAAATATCTTTATCTTCAACGCGTACTATTGTTTGATTCAAGCTCCAACGCCTTAACAACAACGAATAAATTCTGCAGCCTAAAAAATGAGAATACTTGTTTTGAAGTACTCGTTCATCAACATTGCATTTAGTTGCTATCCGACTACCACATAGATTGTTACGCACATGCCTTTTCAAGAACTTTACAACAGACAGGACTGGCTACCTGACTTGGCAACTTTTACAAGCTGTAGCCACAAAGCGCTTTCGATTTGCAATTTACATATTAACTTTGCATTACCGATAACTTAACAAGTCGAATGAGTGACTTACCGTAAGTAATTATTTTATGTTTGTTTTTGCAAATGTATGGATCAAATGGTTAAGAGTGAGAGTGAAAGCAGCGAGTTTGACGAAGAGGACGCGACGCGTTTAGTATAGATTGTTTACATAAATTTTTATAACATTTTTAGAACGAAACAGAAGTAATGTAATCGGTTATCTATTTTTAAACACAAATACGATATAAACTATAATCTATCAAGCAATTTAACCAGCATCAGCAAAAAATCATTCCAAAAAGACAACCGGCGCTTTAACTTAATTAATAATTACTAATAATGACCGAATGGAATCGAAGATAATTGATACATTTGTATGCATTTACAAAATTATGCAATATTTATATAGAAAGATACTTGTACTTGTTCTGAAACTATTCGAAATGAATCGAGCCTTATACTTACGTGAGTTGTGGAGTGAATATTTTGGCAAGGTCATTTAAATAACATGTTCAAGATAGTCACAAGTGATATAACTTTTTATACGACAAAGAAAATGTCGGGATAGAAAGTTGACTAAATTATGAAAGAAACATAAAGAATAGCTATTTGATGGTTCTGGAGTTAGACAACCATAAGTCGTTCTTAACGGTTTAATTTTCTCACATAAAGATACCCGTTTAATTAGTTATCAAAATTGGGTAATGGTTTCCCGTAATAATAACTGATGTCTAGTTGCTCATGTCATAGAGTTTAACAGATTTGCAGAGGTTTTATTATTACAAAATGTACTATCTCTCACATTGTTATTAAATTACGTTTATTGACTTAAGTTCTAACGACGTTGTGTAATATTATCAATACTCATATTTACTGTACATAATAATTACACGCATATGGGAGAAATGCGATCGAAATGGACAAAGGTTAAATGCAGGGTTAGTTAAAACAAAAGTTTCCAGTAGCAAACCAAGGAGTAAACACCATTCTACTTTTGTATTTAATTTACTTTAGCCAAACAGCTTATCATAATCTATGAAAAACAAAAAAAAATAGAGCAGTTGACTATGCACGGTGAATTATTTATGAAAAAGGCACCTTCTCGATAATATGTGTTCAGCGTATTTAGCTTTAGAGAGAGAGAGCGCGCGTTTGGCCATTATGATACATACAAAAAATTATTGACTATCACTACCCCTCTAACACTGTCAATAACGATGACGAAGTGTGTAGGCGGTGTATTCCTTTGAAAATATAAGTAAAAGTTACAATATCTCACTATCGTACTGGCTTTCATACACACGTTTCCATCGTATCACATGAGTGAGAACATAATGAATTATTATACCATTACTTTATGACTTCACGTAGGATTATTTACAATATGTTAGTCAAGCAATTTATCTACTGGTTAGTCGCCAAAGAATAAGTTATAATTATTATTACAAGCCGACATCATGCTTTAAAACGATTAGAAATTTTGCAATAACATGATAAATTACGTCATTTTAAAATTTTTCCTGTTGATACATTCCTTGTTGTTGCAATGGCATTTTTTCCCCCGCAAGAGTGTAGCAATTTTATCATTATTATTATGATAATGTTTCAGATACAAAGGCGAATATAATAGACTACTACAAACATTTATAACTAATAACGTACGTAGTAACATTACAAAATTGATTTAAACCATGAGTAAAATCATGACCGCAATTGTCATATAATATTATCCCTAGATTTTCATGTCTTCTGCATTATAATTATTAATAATTAACATGTTTTATTTTAGTTACCAGACAATTATAACCCACCATTCAGGATAAATAATTTTATGCTTAATATTAAGCCCTAAATTCAAATAAATTTAATATTGTTTGGCTAACCATTATCTGCAATTACATTTTTAGTTCTTTGAGGCATATATTAATTAAATTTAATATGTTTTAAAGTAAATTTTGTTGTCACTTTTGCTTTAATAAAGTCTTTAGCCTTCGTAAACGCTTACTTCTCCTTTTGCTTATTATTATAGCATTTTTTAATTTCCATACCGTTGTATTAGTATAATAGTTTTAACAGTTTCTATTACTATAGGAAGATTGAACAGTTTGCAGAGGCCAGTAATTTGTGAGCGTTTTGCAATTATTGTTTGTTTGTTTTTTTTTTTAAAAAAATCAACATTGTTTTGACTCCCAATATACATCCCAACAAGATGCCTCAAAGGAAAGACGACATATTATAAAGTAAAGAGACTAGTGCTTTAAATTTTATTGAACTTTGCTTAGCAAAAATTTGAAAAAAAAAAAGCCATAAAAGTTTTAGAATCCAAGCTCGAGCATAAGCTACTAAATAAAATGGTTTATGTTACGCAAATTTAGTCTTTCGTCCATTCTAAATTTAACGAAAGTATGCTTCTCAGTACTCAGAAGAGAAAAGAAAAAAATTTTAAGCTTATTAATCTAATTTTCCATAATAATAACAATATGTGCATAACTTGATAGGATAGTCACTTAAGTGTAAACATGAAGAACAAACGACAAAAAACGCAAATCTTAGCATTAGCATAAATAGTTGGGGATTATTACACGCAAAAGGGATAAAATTGACAAGTTTAAACAAAATCGACAAGATAATTTAAATTTGGAAAAGTAAAACGACAAACGATAACACAGCAAAACTATTATTACGGGAGAGCGAGAAAACGAAAAGGGACGTGTATGAGCTTTCCATCACGAATGTCAACAAATGTGTGAATTGTGACCAACAAAAAGCTATCATACAAGTATTACTTGAAAAAAATTGTCTAAAAGTTGGTATTTCATTCATAGTAGTAGAATAGAAAAAATGCAGGGTCATGTAGAAAGGCATAAAGAAAAAATCTTCTACAAGCATAACAAGTCAGCTTATTAATTCATAGTTCTTTAAAGTACTTAATTCATAGTTCTTATTATGTATTCATAATTCTTTATACATTTAACGATTATTTAAATTAAACGTCCACTTTTCATCTGTATCAAATCGTGTTTAAAATGACTTCTCACTCTCCCCTTTGAGATGCATGTTTGTCATTAATATGAGACATTCCATCCATTACAACCATATCTTTTGAGATGCCTGTCTCATTCAGCTTTGCATAATTCCAGTTTTTGCTCACATCAGATGGACTGAATGGCAAAATCCGACTATAATAGTACGCACGTTGATATTGATTTAGGGGATATGCATCAGCACTCCATGCATCAGTTAAATCATCTTCTGCTTTAGTAAATTGGCTAGAGATTTCATTTGGTGAGGGATTATCACATAGATCACAAATCCACTGCCCCAAAATTTCATTCAACTCAGCAGCAGATGGTCTTACTTCTAGGTCAGCATTCCAACATCTTTTCATGAGTGTTTCATAGACAGCAGGCATGCCCTCAATATGATATGGTCGTAAGCCATTACAAATTTCAATGGCAAGATTTAAATCATGATCTCTATTAGCAAAAGGTCTATATCCTGATGCAAGTTCCCACATGATGATACCAAATGCATAAATATCAGCTTCTTGTGTGTGAGGTGCACCCCGCAAAACTTCTGGTGCAATATATGGAAGAACACCATATATATGGTCATCAGCTATCTTGTCAACTGGTCCACAAAGACCAAGATCTGCAATTCGTGCATCTGTTGAAATAGACTCATCTTCTACCAACAGGTTTCCTCCATGCAAATCCTTATGTACCAGATTGCGCTTGTGCACATCATCCAATCCTCCTGCTATTCCCCACAACATATCAATCTTTTCCTTCCAGTTCAAGTCACCTTTGATGGCTTCTAAGTATTTATGCAAATCACCGTTCTGGTAATAACGCATGACAACCATATAAGCACCAGTGGGATCTCTGGTAAAGCCAATTGTGTCAGCAACACTGTGACTTTGAAGAGCTTTGTAATGAAGTTTGACCTGCCTGTAATTTTTTGATGCTATTAGTAATATCTAATTTTAAATTTAGAAAACTAACGAATAATAATTTACTTGCTGGATGAAATAATCAGTGAGTTTCTGCGAGTTGTCCAATCTTTTCAGAGCAACCTTCATTGGACCGTTACGAAGCCATTCTTGGCTTCCTTCATCCCAAAGTTCTCTAGGACCTTCAAGCCAGATAGCAGAATAAACGGTACTGAAGCCTCCCCTGGCTTCTTCTTGGATCAAAGAAAAATCCAAGAATTCAATGAATAGCAAATAATCGCCGCATTGCCTCGCACCCAGCTGCGTCTCTTTAATCAGACGGTTCAACTGAATACTTCCGCTATCCCATGAAGAATTTTCTTCAAAATATTGACTTTCACAGTATTGACACCATGCGAAGTTAGTCCTTGGGAAACGGCAATCTGGACAGATGCCTTTGTCTATGGTAGGCAATTCTTCCGGCGAGGTGCTGGGGCCCTGGTCGCTATACATGATAATGGGCTGTAAATCATACTTAAGTTAGATAACGACTCCAAATCGTCACGCCACATTTAAGCGCACCAACACAAATCTTACTACGGGTGAAACCTGTTTAAATCAGCGGGTCTGGTTTACTGATTTTGGCCAGTTTACCATCAGAAAATTGTTTAACTAGAGAAAGTTTCTAATTAAAGATCGGAGAGGGATTTTGCAGCTTGTTTCCTTCGGATTTCGGCTCCGCAAACCTTCGATTTTTTGTCTTTAATCAGGTAAAAAACTCCCCTAGCAAGCAAAGGTCGTAAGGCGGCCGTTGAACCCGAGACCGGTTCAATCAGCGCCGGTTTAAACAGATTTCACCTGTATTAAACCTTTTAATTCGGAAAATTTCATGTCCGTACGCACTATATTCATCCGTTTATCACTTTGACAATGTTGAGCATCTAATTCTTGAGTGCGACACAAATTTTTCATTTATCGTTATTAGGTGACACCCCGGAGTTTTCATCGAGTCTAGCTAGCTTCGAATCTCGCATGATTAAAGTCACACGGTTTTATTCGCATGTAATAAGAAAAAAGGAAGAACGGGCGCGCGGTAAAATATTTCCCAATTTTTAAATAATAGATTATACCGTATGAAATTTAGTCCTAACTGTAAAGCTCTCCGAGAATACAAAGCGAGCTTAGTATTAGGCACTTTATTTAAATCCGATTCGAAATTTTAATATTAGGAGACATCTGTATACAAGGCTCGGCATAAAGGGAGGCCATGTCAGATTGCCTTATTAGACGAAAGTTCAATAACAGAAATCCACACTATTATTAACAAGAACCGACTATATTATTAACATCATTACGCGTTACACGAATTTGTCAGCTTTATTTAGGTAAAAATAAATTAAGGCATTATAATACGTCTACGTTCTATCCTTAATTTTTAGCCTGCAGCGGAAAAAATAATCAATAAGAAACTTTCTTACGTTCAAACAAACAGTCTTATTGTATATACCTATAAGTCATAATCAAATCACCACCATCTGATTTCCATAAAAGATTTCTAACCGTAGATAGGGTCATCGTTGCTTGCAAAGGCTGGTATGAGAAAGGTAATCTGATTAGATTCTGCACATCTAATTGTTCTTAAAACACACAGTATGCATACTTGATCATTGCACAGCAATTCTAGCCACATTTCAGGCCTCATAGGGGAAGCACGGCGTTTTTCTGCTTCAGAATCGCTGTCCTGTTTGTCGGATATAGTAGCAGAATGTGTAGCCTGAGAATCGGTAGCCGAAAGTTCCAACTTCTCTACTACGTAGCTAAGCACTTTACGGATTCTGAGCATCCGAGGAGCTGTTAATCTAGTATTACTACTTTGTTATAATGTGTGTGGTGATATAGATGAGATAAGGAATACTTTAATATGTTTGGGAATAATTTTGCATATTCTCTGCGTTCACTTACCCCGTCGGCAAGTCGTTGAGGTTTGATCCTTCGTGTGGTTTGAGTACAAAACTGACCTTTGGTTGTTCTTTAACGAGCACCTTATTCTAATTCGTATTGATTCATTTTTTGTCAGTTTATATTAGATTATAATCTGGCAATTATGGCTCCCTGGGAAAGTCGAAAAACTTTCTCACCAGTGCGAATATTGGAAAAATCCGGAAAAGGTTAACTTTAAAAGGGTCATGTAGCCTTCACATACCTTAATTAAAAACTCTAATAACCACAAAGGAGCCTTTTGTTCTATGAGTTCTGCATCATTTGCAAGTGTCCCGACTGTACCTCTGTATATCACAACGCTTGTCGAGGCTTCTGATGAGTCTTCTGAAATAATGACTTTTGTATGATGTGGAATATTTATGGTTGGGGTATCTTGAGGATCTATTTGAGCGAATGGTGGTTGGACAATGTAATGTAGTTGTCTTATCGGTTGGCTAATAACAGGAGAAGCAGCTGGAGATGGCGTGTCGGATTTAACTGTTTGGTCACTTTTGGAAGTTGGAGAGTTGCTCTATTAAGCAAGAGAAGGACTGTTAGTAAGATGACATATAATTGAAAAGGAAAGAATCCGAAAAACGAAAAAAAAGGAAAGAGCAAATTGATACTGATGCCCAAAATGAATAAGGGAGAGTGAAATTAAAATCTTTCGGCGGATTAAAGTTAGTATTTTAGTTGTAATTTGTTTACATATGCTCACTTTTGTCTCTTCCTCGTCATCAGTTTTCGGAGGTTCTTCATTATCTTGATCGCGAAACACTAGCTTCTTATCTATTACTCTGGAGTTGGGATAATCTTTGGGCTGTTCCAAGTAGTTTAGATTTTCGGTCTTAGGGTCCGCATTTGGCGAACGCGCTTTCCTGGCGTTATTAATACTTCTAAATATAGACGTCACAAACGAGGATGACCCGGTATTATTTGAGCCTTGATTAACCAACGCCGGCGGAGGTAATTGAATTTTTGCTTGATCGTTTTTATTTTCAGACATGGCTGCTCCGGACTGTGTAGACGGACTAGTAGGCGTTGGTGGTTTATGTAAGTCGGAAAAATAGTCTTGCGTTGGTCCTGTAGTTGCTGGAGCTGTAAAGGGACCAGCGAATGCAGCCAACGATTTTGTTGGGGAATTAGGCATCGCCGCCGCCGTAGGAGATGCGATTGGAGATTGAGTACTAGTTGGTGACTTTGGAGACAGGATATCAATGCCCCTTTGATAAGGTTTTTGTGTTGGACGATCGTTTAAATGTTCAGCTTGCATAGTTGCTGGTGGGAATGAAATGTGATTCGGTGGTGTAGCTCGCGTTGGAGATTGTGGTAAGGCCTCTTGGGAATATTTATGGATATCATTGAGTGATTGCTGTCTTTGGATGCTCTGTTGTTGCTTTTCCGCGAATGCTCGGCTCTCCTCGTATGCTTTTATTTCAGCTTGTGTAAATTCTTGGAATAGATATCGCAATACCCACTTACCGAGATTGACTTGAAGAAAACAAACTATTAAATTCCATGGTTACAAAACTGATGGCCGGAACTATTTCTAGTTACCTCGGTAATCTTCGCGGAATTCATAGTCTTCTGGAGGCGATTCTATTTCATCTGCATATACCTCAGCATCGAAGCACTGGAACTCGTCTAGATGTATTGTTAATGCCTTCAATGAAATAATATTATGTAAATATATTATGGATAAATATCTTAAATAAAGGCAACAACTACAAATATACTCACACCAATTCTAGTGTCTATGGCAGCCCACGTGGGTATTGACTCTATTGTGTTTATTTCCTGATAAACTTCTTCTAAATCGCGCTTACCGAACGTCTTCAATTTAACACACTAATAAAGCAATATATAATGATTTAATAAAAGTATTTCAATGAATATCTTCAAATTTTGTTTAAACGTCCTTGCCTTAATAATATCCCAGAGTGCTACTTCTCCAGCAGTATCGACTGTTAACACATGTCTTCTGTTGTTCAAAGAACAATGCTTTGTTAGACCGTGTTGACCTAAGGGAACGAACAAATAAACAACCGATAAATTGTGCGTCTACTATGCAGAATTGTTTTTCTCACAATAATCGAGTTTCGTCGCGGTATACCTTGAATTGTAGTATCAGGTGCATCTCTGATGGGAATGGGGTCATCTAAATCGTCATCGCCAAATGTAGAATCATCGTGCACATTCATGGAATGAACTGTCGCAGCATCCGAATCGACTGCTCCATTATATGAGTATGACAATTTAATCAGCGCAGAAGGCGAAACCGATGATGAAGGAGATGTGGGTGGCGAAGAAGATGCGCTTGCAAACGCTTTGGCTCTACGACGTGAGCGGCTGGGAACGTCTAACTGAATATAAATCGAAAACCAATCAGTAATTAAGAAATAACGATATTTTCGAATGAATATGATTGCAGTAAGACGTACCCATCTGTTAATAGTCGATTTGGCAGTCGCTGTCCATATAAACTCATTGTCAAGTGCCAAAATCTTGCAATAGATAAAAGTTAAGCATATACGCGTGACATTTAAACATGTTAAATATTCGGCGTTGAAGAGCTTACTTTCATTACTCCAGCTGCCTCTCTTGATATTGCAACACATTCCCCATCTCCACTGTAGTCGGTTCTCGTGACCAAACCGTCTTTACTACCAGTATAAAAAGTCTCCAGTCTCGGATGGTCAGAGTACAAAGCCCATACTGAGTCTGAGTGAATTGTGAATGTATTGACACAGCGTTGAGCAGACAATGACCATAATTTAATGGTCGTGTCGGACGATCCGGATAGTATCTACATGGGAAAGATTTGTATATCATCTTAGTAATAGCTTCAGATGGCTTCACGCCGATAATCAAAACTTACCAAGTCCCCATCATCGCTGACTAGCACGGCTCTTATGTTGTCCGTATGGCCAGTAAATTTCATTATTTGTTTATTTGACCTCGGATCCCAGACACGAATTATCTATATAACCAGCACAATTAGAACAGTCTTATTGGTAAAAAACACAAAAGTTGTTCAGACCTTCTCTGGTGACCCAGACACAATAACAGTTCCAGATGGATTGCAAGCAAGTGCATAAATAGACGATTTGGGAGATGTCTCTGAGATTAAGGCTATTTGTAAAATAGGCAATGGCTTTAAAATACGATTATATGATTTTCAGTAGTAAATGCGTGAATATCGATTTACCTCTGGGATCCATATCTGTGAAATCTAAAGACGTAATGGCTGAAGACGGTCGACATTCGTTAATATCCCAGATGGCTATTTTCCTATCGAATCCACCGCTTGCCACCCAACAAGGTCCAGGAGCATATGCAAGTGCCTTGATGTAGTCAGAATGATATCCAATCGTAATAGACTTGTTAGATTTGTGTGGATGCCATAGTTGTAGTGTCCTATCAGATGAGGCAGAGATGACTATTTCATGCCTTGCCATGAAATCATTGTAAAAATATTATTAATAAGGAACGACAACGTTTAAACGGGTTGAATTGAAAAAGAAGACATACGAGTTTCATTCCCATGACATAACACAATATCATTGACCCAATCTGTATGGCCCTGATACTCTTGCCGAAATGTGGTGGGAATTGACGGTGTCAACCTATCACTATCGACCTCCCAGCTCTCATTCTCATCCCCATCATCGTCAACATTCTTGCCCAGTAATCCATTAGCAGATGACGAGGATACTTTTTTTTGTTGTCTAAATGGCAAATGTAAATCCCAAGAATAAATGAGCCCGTCTCTTCCAGCAGTGTAAAGTATTCCTTCCGGTCGCCCAGTCTTAGGATTTACAGTTGTTGTATCAAGTGCTAAGGAATTTGCACCCAAAAAATGACCTTGTTCCTTATTATCGTGTGATATCACATAAGATACTCGACGTCGAGGCCCTCGTCTCATTTTAAAATATACTCAAAGTGATCTATTTTGACGAAGGGGAGTTCAAATTTAAATAGGTTTAGACACATTGCAATTGATTGGACAGGACAATTTTTGCGTTCCGTTTCAATTTCTTAAAATAACTGTCTTAATATTAATTAACTACGATCTTATTTTATAAAAATGCATTTACTCATTCTGGCGAGGTGTCCTATATAGTCTTCTACCAATGCTATGACTAGCTTATCGCATTCTTTCTGAAATTGGAAGACTCGTTAGCTTAGAGTAGGACGTGCATTCAGCATTCGTCGTCTATACGCCGCGTACTTTACGATTTAATAAAAATGGCTCGACGTTGAAAACGCATAATATCAATTCTGCAGTAAATTTGATAATGTAACCACATCTTCTACCAAAATCATACTTGTCTTGTTGCGAAACGTATTGGTCTGTTCGTTTAAATGTTAAACTAGATTTATCAATAATACAAAGAAATCATTGTGTTTCGTTACTTTAAACGTGCGTCTTGTTAGTGGACATTATTATAAGTGAAATGTGTAAGGCTTGAATCAATCGTTTCGTGTCCTTAACACTAACATGATTAACAGTTGCGTTACATCGTTCGAATTACCCGTATGTATTAGGATTCAAAAACTTCTGCAAGACTTTTGTTGCATATATGCCGGTATCTTTAATATCAATTGCCTGGCTTTTCACCACGTTCTAACTTAGAACACGTGGGTCTAAATCAAGAATGTTAATATTACACAGATCTTGGATAGTCACATGTCACCAGAATTATCTAAAAATGTCGTCAATCTCCCGATGCTGCACGATAACCGAGCAACAAGATGTCTAATCGTGAGATTGAAGATGATGACGTACAATACGAAACAGGCACCGAGCGAGCACTTAGAAAAATGAAGGAGGAGCCACTGGTTCCCGCAGGTTGATTTATCGTTCACTACTTTAATCTCTTTAATCAACTCTGTCTAAATAGTTGCAATATTATAGGAATCTTTGTAACTACTTTCGCAATTGTTGCGGCTGCAATCAGCTTGCACAGAGGAAACTCTGCCATGTTTCAAAAAATGTTGAGACTACGTGTTGCTGCGCAAGGGTTTACTGTGGCTGTTCTTCTTGGTGGGGGCCTATTGTATCAAAATAAACGAAAAACATAAGCCGTGACGACAGAAACAGAAGAGCAGTAGTAATGTTAGAATGCTGTTTTGTACTATCGAATAAGTAATAACAGCTAATGTACGCTTGTAATAATTTCCTTTTACATTCCGATTTCGGGATGGGACAAATTAAAGTTGTAATTAATGCACTTTTTGGGTTGATAATAGTAAAGCAAATCCTGCATATTGGGAGTTGTTAGAGATCAACCTAATTCAGAAACAAATTGTTGGATGGGGTCTAAAAGTTTTTGGGTATATTTTATCTTCTATTCTTGGGTTGGTATGATAAAATATAATTTGTTGGATGATTGAGGAATAGTCTATCCAGTAGTTGCCTACTGGTCCATATTGATAGTAACGGTAAAATGGTATAGGAAGAGAAGAAGATCAGAAAACTCTAACAACATCGACAGCCACTGTAAACATTTAAAAAGTGAACTTTTCTATACGTCGTATGATGCTTTCGCGATTATTCGAAACCTTGGATTAGTCTCCGGATACGTAAGGGAATATTTCTACACCAAGTTACATACAATAGTCTTTTGCCAATTGCGAGATTCGATGGTCAAAGATCGAAATCTACCCTGCGATTTGTCTGTCAGCTAAGCATATCATTTATCATTAAGCTAACGTTGAAGATTCAGAAACGGAATCTCACCGATGAATTCGAGAGGTTAGCTAGCGAAACAGGCATTTTTATCATTCCATTAATTAACTATCTAACTATAAACCTAAATAGACGTTGGCATCTACAAAAAAAAACGAAGAACGCAAGTGTTTGGGACCTTACAGCCCAAGTTACTGATTGTAGCAGTTTTACTCGCTAGCCGCCACGTTTCACCAAGCGTCAACTATGTAACTGACTATATATACAGGATAACACATGATTATGATGCTGCTAGACATTATAGTTCATATTGACGACTAAGCAGCACTGTTCAATGTTGGAAAAGGTTTTCGTGCACTTATCATTATACCTGGTAGTGTCATATCAGGGGGAAAGGGTATGAGTTTGAGTTATATCAAAAAGCAGCTGAACAAGGAAATATTCAAGTTGGAACTGAGTAGGAAAAAAAGCAATTGAATGATATAAAGAGGCAGCCCACAAAGGACATGCTGGTGCTCAATATAATTTTTCTAGATGTTATGAAAAAGAATGTGGAAATTGAAAAAGATGAACAGAAAGCAGTTGGATGGTACAAAAAAACAACTGAAGGAGATACCAGTGCACAATATAATCTTGCTTGTTTACATTACAATGGAATTAGGTTAGAAAAGATAAAACAAAAGCTACTGAATGGTATAAAAAGCAAAATAAACAAACAACAGTTTTATGGTATTAAAAAAAGAAGATGCAGCTGCTCAATATAATCTTGCTGTAAGTTACAAAAAAGGGACTGTAACTGGAATAGAAAAAGATGACTTTTTTTATTTACAAAATTTTATTATTTATCAACAAAAACATATTTATTTAGTAATCTCTGACACTATTAAAAACAAATTATAGAAAAACAGAACAAAAAACAAATTGAAAAAAGGTTACAGAAATTGAAGGTGAAAAAAAGCAGTTGAATGATATAAAAAAGCAACTGAACAGGAGATATCAGTGCACAATTTAATCTTGCCATATGTTGCAAAAGAAGAATTGGGATAGTAATAGACAATATAAATAATGAACAACAAGTCGTTACTGGTTTAAAAAAGCAGCTGAGCAAGGAAATTCTGTGAATACACAAGGTTTGAAGAGCATGTACATGAGGATTAAGATGAGAAGTATTTGAGCATGGGCTTTGGGGTTTGTCATGCTCAATATTAATATAATCTTGCTAGATAATACAAAATAAAAAAAAAGCAATTGGAACAGAAAAATATAAACAGAAAACAGTTGAATGGTATAAAAAAGCAGCTGAACAAGGAGATGTCAATGTATATGTACAGTATAAGTATGGAACTGGAGTAGAAAAAGAGCAGCAGAACAGCGAGATGTTGGTGCACAACTCATCTTACTTTTAACTTGTTAAAATGAAACTGGAGTAGTAGTAGTAAGGAAATATGAACAACAATAATGGCATGTCAATGCACAACATTACAAGCTTTTTATACCATTCAACTGTCATTGTTCATATTTTGAAAATGTATCTGTAAAAGTTCCCATGTTGAGACTAAGATAGCAGTCATTGAACATTTCACAAAAATTTTAATTTTATTATTTATTAGAATAGCAATTTCATATAATAATAAGTGTTACATGAAATATTTATTGTTTTGATAATGACATGGAATTTCCCTTTGATAACAATGTGACAGTAACAATTGCAATGATAAATAAACATATTAATATGCATCTTGTTAAATTATTATATCATAACAGAATGTGGACAAAATGTTTAGTTATAGAGTTATGCTTGTTCAAAGTTGGATGCTTTTTTATCTTTGTGAACAGATTTTTTAAAACTTACCTAATAAACTCAGAACAAACACATGGAAATTTGATTATGATGACAAATACATCAATGTCTTTAAAAACTTGGTAAGCAACACAACTACACAGACAGAGATTAAGATAGCTATGAGACAACTACAACTTTACTATGTAAAAAATTCTGTAGTACTAGTACAGGCATGTGTAGGAAATTATTTCCTTTTTTATAAAGGAGGCAAAATGATAAACATCAGATTTACGCGGTTGTCTCATAGATACATTGTTAAGAAAAAAACGGTGGTGACAAAAAATTGTACATCTCAACGATTACAATGTAAATTAAACAAATTTAGGTATGTTTGAAAGCTCATTAGGTACACTCCCCTGACACGGGTCATGAGACTGCTCTAAATTACTAGTAAAACATATAAAAATTCCTTTTTTTGAAAATCTCTCTTGTCTGCAAACACTATGTAAGTGATAATAAATTTTATATGGCTTTGTAAATAATTAATTGTACTTTTGAAAAAAAATAATAACAGAAACTTTAATGATTATCATCATTAATCTCACATGTAACAGGTATTGGGTTAGAATATGAAAGAATATTTGGTATAGCATATATATATAATTATCATTTTATTACACTATATCTAGCTACAACTTTATTATAATAATGTGTTAAATTTTACTATTATTTTTTTTTTCAAACAGCCCAGTCAATTAGTTTCAAAACTATATAAAAATTATTGCCGGTTACATAGTATTTGCAGACAAGAAATTTTTTCGAAAAAAGGGTTTTTTCATGTGTTTTACTAGTAAATTTTAGAGCAGTCTGGAGTGTGCATTATTTAATTGTAAAATTTTAGTATGAAATTCTATTGCTGTTATGCAGCAAATAGCTTCACATCTGCTTTGCATGAAGGAGACCAAATTATTAACTATCTCCTGAGGGATTGCATCCCATTACTCAACTGTATTTTGTGGCATTCGCTTTTCAACATTATTCTTCATAATTTGCCACATATTTTCAATTGGGTGAGGTCCGGACTGTTGGATAGCATGAACTGAATTTTCAGCGAGAAATTCCTTGGCAACACGTGACGTGTGCTTCGGATCATTACCCTGTTTCAACGTCAACTCTTCCCATACATTCTTTGAGCAGCAGTAAAAGTTGAGTTTGCAATATTCTCATAAAGGGACCATTCATTATATTTGTGAAACAAAACAAGGGAGTTTTCCTCATTAGAGAAATGCCACCCCACGCCATTACTTCTGGCGGAATTTGGGTAAAATTCGAATGGGCCTGTCACCAGCTTTATACCATCGACAAACCTTGTTTCGGAAGAGGTCAAAGACTGTCTCATCTGCCTGTGCTCAAGCCTTTCTCATCTCAATATGCCGTTCGGTGAGCATCGGCGTTGCTAATAGATTTTATACCTTTTTTTTCATGTAATCCCATAACGTAACACGCAAAATTGATATATTTTGCATATTTTCTACTTTTGCGGCAATTGGCGGGTTTGACAAAACATTATTATGGCGTATACTCTGTCCGATAACGCGAGATACGGTCTGTATAATCTTGGTTTTACGTCCGTTTCCTCGCTTGTGCTCAACTTCTCTTAGTTTTTTGAGACTACGCTCAACAGCACGAAGGAAAATTGTGTATTTCTTTGGCTAAATTGGTACCGTTGAGCCAGTAATGTTTAATTGTTTGTCTTTGGGCTTCAACCATCTTTACGAAAGCATAAACAAAAGTTGCGCGTAAGAAAACATGTTAACTGGTGGAATTGATCGTATTTGTAGTACAATTATTATTAATAACGCGTATTTCTTTACGTATTACAAAAAAACAAGTCTTTTGTTGACCGCCGTTCTTTCTTAACACACTGTATCTCTGTTTGTGTAAATGTGTTGTTTACAAGACATTTATTGTGGCGGATTAAAACGACATCGGATTAAACCGACTTTTGGGGTCTTCTTGAGTCCACCCCTGAAGCTCAGAAACCCACATATACTCTTCTATTATCAAACAATACCCTAAATTCTAGCCCTTGAGCTCAGATCCTCCAGTTATGCGGTACTACTACCAAGACTTTGCTGATTACAATGGTAATTTAAAAAAGCTCTGAGAGAACCTGATGAACTCCATGGCAGAGCATAAAAGCACGCGAGTTAGTTAACGGTGCAAATCGTACAGAAAGCCACGCATCGGGAAAACCAATAACAGTTGTTGAGTGTAAATATTCGGAAATAAATGATAACAATTTATACCTCTCTGTTGTTCATAATACAAACCTTCGATGACAGGCTAAATAAATTAACACATTTTCTCCCGTTGCTCCTCTACTCCCCCGATAAACGTATGTCGCTTGCTTACCATGTGTTCAAGGTATTTTTTGTATTCGCCTTGTGCTTTCTCGAAATGTGCTTCACGGATTTTCTCTTCCATATTGCATATAAAACTCGCCTTCTGTCATTACTTTTAGGTGTTTTGGTATAATTTAGAGAGTGAATAATATAAAGAGAGTCGCGATCTGGCCATTTTACTTGCACAAAAATGTAATACTTCTCCGTATTTGAAGCGACGAACAAACTATATTGCAATAAAGATGGAAAATTTTTATATGGAACAATGTTTCGAATTGTTTGCTGAATAATTGTCTAAAAAATGATTTATTTTTGCGAATGGGTTTAAATTTGTACGCTAGACGGTAACGATTTATTGAAAACTCAGCATGCTCTTAACTGTGTTGAGATGTTGCCTAAGTTGATCTGCATATTTACCATTTCGTTTCGTTTAAGACCAACAGGTAGTGGTACGAACAAACTTTTAAGAATGCTACAGTGAATGGCATCCGGAATAATTATACTTTACAATTTCGAAGACGGTCTTGAACCGGATTATGTGTGTTGCTGAAATTCTAAACTTATGTTGACAATCGGTCCTCAACCGGGCAGCCAACTAGTCTTCGCCATTTATGAAACGCACCATTCGATATCAACTTGTCTAGAGTTTGATCAGTGTCAAACAACTACTTTGAAAGTAGACATCATTTCATGTTATTATTAGAGTCAAACTCACTGGCACGCTATGAATGTAAACGGTAGGTAACAAGGCCAAGATGGTTTTAGATGATAATGACTAGAGCAATGCAGGAAACCAGTTGCAAGAACATTCGACATTAAAAAAGCCACTCGCAAATATTACTATACATACTTCTTATCTCCTATATTATTACTTTAGTTAGCCATCGTCAGACTTTGGTGCAATTTTTGCAAACGAACACAATGTATTTGAGCGAACAATTTTATGTAGTTCTCTATCCTTATGAAACCAGTAATAGAGTTTAGCCTTTTAAGGGAAAGTTAATCAGGTTTCCAAATTTGAACGTAGATGATACATAGACACGAGAAATTAAAAGATGTGGAACAATTTGATTGTTCTTCGTCTACTAAATCATTCTCTGGTCAAAATGCCCAATTACAGTGATATGTGTGTATAAACTGTCAGTGAACATTGTAAAACGTAATCTGCCTTTCGTCATTGTCGCGAAATCATGGTTCACGTGAAGTATTTGCATCACACGCGTGGAGATTGTGAGACAACGGGAATATAAATGCTGTTCTCACAGCATCGCTAATATCTCTTACTCTTCTCTCTGAATTTTGGTACAAGCCTCAAAAAAAAAAAAACTTTATACCTACTTGCTATTTTATGACCCACTTTAAAATTTGACTATCGTATTCAAACCGCGTTACGTGTCCGATTATTTCATCGGCGTGACCTTCCGACCATGAAAACTGAAACAGAAAGATACAAAACTCAAACCTTTGGTTCAAAACCATGGACCGAGGGGGAAGACCAAACCCTTCTAAACGCTCTCGCTCGTCATAGTGACGACTGGGAACTCATAGCCAAGCAATATTTCCCAAGAGTGCGCACTCCTGCTGACCTGATAAGTAGATATGATTGGCTTCTCGCTCTTGACATAGCCGCAGACGCCCCCCCTTCGTGCGCTAAGTGGAGCGAGAAAGAAACGCAAGCGCTTTGTGCTGCTGTACAAATACATGGCCCAGACTGGGGCTACATTACAAACACTATATTCCAAGCACGTCGGACTGAGAACGCTGTACGTAATAAATGGTCTAAAATTTCTTCCAAAAAATCTGCCCCTCCTAGAATAAACGCGAGCAAATGGACCGAAGAGGAGATCAAAACACTTATTGTTGCGGTCAGCAGAGTCGGCACAGATTGGGATTTAATATCGCGCGAGTATTTTCATTCAGTACGAGGTCCACATTCTTTGATGGAAAGATGGGAAAAGATTTTAAATAAATTTAAGGTAAATCTTGATTGCAATTTGTTGCAGACATCTAAAGCGAAGGCCATTGCACGGAAGCTACTTGAGTGTGTTGGCTATAGTGAGATTAAACCACTTTCAGACAACCAAAAAAAGAAGATTGTAATGGCAGACAAGTCAAAAGTGACTGAATCATCAATGAAGCCTTCTGCTTCGACGAAATGGACAGACAACGATATCAAGAAACTTCGCGCAGCAGTTAAAAAACATGGAACAGTGTGGGCCGCAATTGTCCACGAATATTTTCCGTCCAGAACTCCCGAAGCAGTCCGAAAAAGATGGGAGATGCTACTCAGAGAACGAAAAAAGGCTAAGGCTGATATGACCAGTAAACCTCCGCTGAGAGTGACTAGACATTCTTGGAAACCAGCCGAGATCAGAAAATTACGTGCAGCCGTGGCGAAACACGGTGAAAATGAATGGCAACTTATTTCAACAAAGTATTTTAACTCTGTGCGAAGTCCAGAGGCGACTAAGCGTAAGTGGCGCGAAGTTCTACAAACAAATGTAGATTTGAGCGATTCTACGGACGGTAGTGTACTGTCCCCATCCAGTGATAACGATACGTCTTCCGACTTCTCGATCTCTTCGCAGAGACCCTGGACGGAGGCAGACAGTGAGATACTTCGTGTCGGAGTCGCCCATGTCGGCACAGATTGGAAGCGCCTTGCTCATGACTTCTTTTACAACAACAAGACACCTAACATCCTTAGTCGTCGATGGAATCTGATTAAGAATAGGTTTCCAAAGAGATTAAACAAGGCTGTCCAGACTGATTCAGTTCGCCCTCGAAGAGCTTCTATCTCATCCGAACAGCCCAAGTCTGTCAGTCGCTGGAGGGCTTGGACAGAAGATGAGATAAAGAACTTATACATAGGGATCCGCAGATACGGAATTGATTGGGCGAAGATCGCGGACAAAGTTTTTCAAAAGTCGAGAAGTGCAGGTGCTCTCTATTGCAAATGGTCTTCTCTTGAAAATCCTCCCCCTGCAAAAAAGGCCAAGTCAATAACAAAGAAGAAGATAAGCAAGACGGAGCACATTACAAAGAAGACAACTGACCGATTATTGCCGAAAAAACCCTTAATTGTGGAAGATCTGTGGACAGATATGGAACTAACAAAGTTAAGAGAAGGTGTCCAGAATTTTAGAGATGACTGGGATACTATTGCCGAAAATGTCTTTCAAGGAACGCGATCACCTGAAACTCTATGCAGTACATGGAATGCATTACAAACTGATGCTCTGGCTAAGCCATGGACTGAAGAGGAAATTGAGAAGTTACGTGCTGGTTTCCAGAAATATGAAGCTGATTGGTCGCGTATCGCTGAAGATCACTTTAATGGTTCGAGGACTCCTGTAGCTGTCAATCGTTGTTGGGAACTTCTTAGGGATAAGGGTGTAGTCGCAGGAAGTCCGACTCGCGCTAATAGATGGACAGAAGAAGAAATGAAGTTACTTGTGAAAGTTAGCGATGAATGCAAGCAGGACTGGGAGCTGATTTCGCAAAAATTTTTCCAATCAAAGCGCACATCTGAGGCGCTAAAACGCAAATACTTTAATCTGATGAAATCAAACGAAGCAGACGAAACGTACCACATGCCATGGTCCTCTGAAGATCACCAAACACTTCTGGATGCTGTGGAAAAACATGGGATAGATTGGGAATTTATCTCTAGACGCTACTTCAATGGTGCCAGAACCGCCCGTACTCTCAGACGTAGATACATTGTGATTATGCAAAAGACCAGTCCGGATGCTGGCGAAGTATGGTCACTGAATTTACGAAGTGGTACGAAGCGCTGGTCTTCTGCTGAAACCGAAAAGCTTCATGAAGCCTTTGCGATGCATGGAGACAAATGGGATTATATCTCACATAATTATTTTTCCTCCAAGAGGTCTGCGGACTATCTCCGCTTGAAGTGGGAAGAAATAAAGCCCAAGATTTCTGGACCTTCAAGTGGACGCAAATGTGAAAAGATGCTTGAAACAACGATCAAAAAATCCAATAAGAACGAGAAACGCGTTGAAAATGGACAGCCAAGCCTTCCAATTACTGCTCATACTAGTGGGCATAGTGGAAATAAATGGACAGAAGCTGAAACTCGAATACTACTCAAGGCGGTTACTCAACACGGTCCCAACTGGCGTACTATTTCGCGTGAAGTGTTTGGGTCAAAGAGGACAATTTTTGGTTTGAAGGCAAGATGGAAACGTATATGTCAAGATCGATGTAAGAATGTAACTGTGAAGGAGGAAGGTGAAAAATGTTCTGATAAGGAACGTAAACTTGACAAACAAAAATTACGAGATAATTTGCGCTCGACAATCCGCGGATATAACGCGAAGACTCGTTTGAATCGTCGAGGCGTCAAGCTAGCCAAACGTGTCCGTCGAGTGGGTGAAAAGTGGACTGAGAAAGAGACCGTGAAACTTTGGGAAGCTGTCACGATTCATGGGTTGAAATGGAAGAAAATTGCACGCGAATACTTTAATTGTGAACGCCGACCGGCAGCACTTGAGGGGCGTTGGTATCGCACCAGATCGAGAATGAGGCAAACAGTACCTGTGACAACAACCATAGGCAGTAATTTAAATGTAATCTTGACTCAGAAGCCTCCTTCATGGACTGAAGCTGACACCGAGCGGCTTCGCACGGGCGTTAGGAAATTCGGTAAGAAGTGGCAACTTCTCGCGCAAAAATGCTTTCCATCCAGGACACCGTCGTCGCTCGAGAAGCGATGGATGCATATCCGCGGAGATGATCCTCAGGCGGAGGAAGAAGACATCGAACCGGATTATGATGACGAGGACCTCCCTGTTGAATCGACCGTAAGTGAAGAAGTAAATAATCTGTCATGCGATAGTGGAACAGAACTCGAGTTGGTAGAGGATGAGATTGAAACTGAGGAAGAAGATGTCGGAATGGCAAGCCATCCATTAGAAAGTGAGCAAAGAAACCCGCTCTCTGACGGTAATCAGCAGAGAAGTTCAATTTGCTATCGCCCACTCCAAATGAGCTCAGCATGTCAATTGTAAATATTCAAATTCAACAAGATAACAGAAACGTATGCCGTATAACACGATAATAAATTCGGCGATCGGTTTATTCAACAAGTTGAAAGCAGGCCCTGTTGTTTATAATATTACACTTCTATTGTAGCGGATTGAATGTGCAAATTAATTTTACATCTAATGCGTCCAAGCGATTTCGTTCAAGCTCTTTCTCGTATGATTACTTGACATATTTATTCATGAATTTCCTATGGAAGTCACTTCTCAAAGTGTCATTGATAAATCTCTTTTTTGGTTTGTCGTCTACGCCCCGCGCTTGATTTCTAAAAATCACATCATCGTCCCACCTGCATACAGAAACAATTATTGAGCGGATTGTGAAAAGAAAAAGTTTTCAGAGGCGTAACCAAAATACCTTCGCTTTACGCTGAAATCTCTGTTTAGTAATGGATTCCCCATGGCTATCTCTTCCTCCCGTCGCTTGGCTTCTTCCGCCTGAGCCGCTTGTTCCTAAATACATATTCAAATACATGTTTAGAATTTTCACAGTTGTCAATCATAAATAAATCCGAGACAATCGTTCGTACCTGTCGTTCTCGCTCCTCCGCACGCTCTTTTTTTATTTTTTCCAGTTCTCGGAGTAATTCTGCTGTATCATCTTCCTCATCTTCGGCCTCATCCTCTGAGCTATGCATTCATAATTTAATTACAAGGATGACTGTGTTCAAAGATGTATAGTGGTCCTCTTACCTCTCTTCACTCTCGTCACTATCATCGTCGCTATCGTCGGCATCAAGTGCAGCAGCTTCTAGAAGTTTCTGGCGCTTTGCTTCGAAATCCTCGTCGACATCGTTAGTGCTACCGATCTCTTTTCGTTTCTTTTCAAAGTGATCCTGTTCGGCCTTGAGCAACTGTTCGCGGAGGTCAACCTCCTCGATTTCTTCTTGTGTTGTCTGACCGGGTCGTCTGTAGATTACTTTAATCGTTATTCAACTGCAAGAGAATTAAAGAGTTGTGGGTCTAATCTACTACTGACCGGTATTTTAGCTTTGTGTGTGAGGCTAGATCGCGAGAACTATATTGAAGAGTCGGAGCCTTATTGTCGTGGCCTCGAGCGGGATCGAAGGTTGGTCTTGCGGCGGTCGTCATAATAATTGTGGAGATACTTTAATACTATTACCATTTCTGAGTAGTGATTTTATGGTGTAGCAATGGATTTCGTCACGAGTTCGCACAATACATTGTGGTCCGTGCGCTGAATTCAGTGAGCGAAATACTCGTTCAACACTTGGGCCTCCTTTGAAATGAAAGATATTCACGCATCAAGTTCAACTCCTCAATGGCGGTTTACACCGGAGCGCCCTTGTAAAATTTCCTTAAAAATAATGGTGCATTTTAATAAAAAAAAAAAGCGGTTTTTCTTTTATTATTAAACAATCCTCTCTTTGGAACGAAGGTTGGTGTAGTTTCATGATCTTTCTCACGATAGGATGGTGGCGAAAATCACAACTGTTCTTAATGATTGCGAACTCTTACTGTCATGAATCAGAAAAGTAAACAATTGCCCAAGGGTTGGGGCTGCTGCGTTTCAGAAACTGTTGCAAATGTCGCAGCATTCTTAATTATTTCCTAGATGTTTAGAGAATTAATAATGGCAATACGCACTTCATTAATTTTTTGATAATATATTCACCAAAAGAGGAGTTATGATAGCTATATGACGAATTAATAATTATAGATTGACGATTAAGTTTGTTCACTTAAATGGGTTGTACCCTCTCGGTTCCGTTAAAATCGGGGACATAGTAATAGAAGGATTTCCTCATAGTAATAGTAATAGTCACACGATTTATTCATAAGCAAATGGGTACCTAAGTAAATAACCGTATAATAGTCTTATGTTTTATAAGTTTATTTGTGAAATAAACGCTTGATTCATCGCAAGCAGAAGTAAATTGCGATTTTCGTTTTGGTTAAAAGCCCTATCCATTATCATATTAATGTGGAAGATACAAATATCTTTTTTAAGTAAGTCGCCAATATATAATGAAGAAACAATTAACCCAGATACTTGTTCACGTAATGTGAGGAAATTTACATATATCGATATCGAACAGAGACTTTCTTTAGTTAACGTGGACATTGTAGGGTAAGAGAAGAGGACTAGGCGACGTTCGGTAACATCGTTTCCTGTTTATTTGGAAGATTAGACGTCAGAGTTATCGATTTATTCCAAGCTGGCAGATTGAACATGTAAAGCCTTACTTTAATCTCATATTCAGTGCTGTTTAGAAGTCTATGTGGCAGAATGCAAACTAAATTTTTCAGCTTAACAAACCTCACACATAGTAATGGGAACAAATCGGAGGCTTTCTATACGTTTGACCATCTCCTTGTGTCGACTGTTCTAATTAATGATTACTTTGTACGTCACTTGGGTTATACAAGCCGCACCATTATAGTCATTACTTCGGAATTTTATGTCCGGTAAGATCAAAAATGCCAAGGAGTAAGAAAGAAGACGTTTCGACTTCAAATTGTCTTTGGACGCAAGGAAAACAGCTTCTTACAATCGAAATAGTTACATTCTTGGTTCGGGTGAATATCAGTGCGCAGTATTATGCTTCGAAATACATCATTGAATAAATTTAATTAATGGGAGCTTCATCACGTATTATGTTTTTCAAAAGCCATACAATGTTCAATACACAAAAACTGACCAACGTACTCACTGGCCCGCACTCATGTATAACATACAATATCACCAATCAAGTTTGCATCTACACAAATTTCATGCTTAAACTTGGAAA